ATGTCTTGCGATCGAAGCGTTCGCGGAACCAGGTCGTTTCGGGGGGGGTCGGGACTTGGTCCCGTTGAAGTTTCCGTTCAAGGAATTGTTTGAGGATTGGGATTGCAACCCTTTTCACAGTGGGTGCCCCCCCTCTTGGGGAAGACATTTATTGTTACAGTTGCATTGTGCATTGTTTGAATGTTTCGTTCATTGAATGCTTTCGGTCCCATCGATGTTGCCGAGGAATGATGACCGAGATGGAGCGCCTCTGCCTTATCATGTGCCTGGTAGGTGTGGGCAACACGGTCGCTGCAACGTTGCGGCTCAGCTGCAACGGTGGGTCTTCAGTGAGCCGAGAATGGGACAGTCACCAGCATGCCAGCAGTCGGGGTGCCGGAGGATAGGGGTGCCCAGAACATCCACTGCCACACATGGATCCACTGACTCCAAACCACCCAACTCCAATGTGACTCTTGGTGGCTGGAAGTCATTTGGGTGATTCACCCAAGGATCTAAGAACTCCCACGTGTTCTTTCACCGGAGGCCCGCGCGCCGCCGACTCCCAGACTCCGCGCTACTCCTCGGCGCTTCGGCCGGCCCTTTCCGCGCCCGCGATGTTCGAGGCAAGGCGCCATGTTCAAGATCTTCAGCGAGCGACAAGCCAGGCGCGACAGTCACCGGGCGCGCTCGGCACGCGCGCGCGCGACATGAGGTCCGGCCGGCCCTGGCGTGCCGCGCCGGAATCGCATGCGAGCGGACTTGGAACTTCGGAGTCTCTGAAGTTCGGTGAGTCGTGTTGACAGAGAAAGGCAACAAAAGGTGTGGCGAATGCCACTCGGATGTTGACACGTTGAGCGGAATCGCTGCGTTTCAGTGTGGCTGGATGTCACACGCGAGTCACGGCAGGAAATTCCGCATCCAGTACTTTGACTTGGTGCTGCACCAGGCCGGTTTTCAGAAAGCCATGTAGAGCATCTCCAATTTGGAGGTCCGAAAAAGTGATGAACTTGGGAAAAGATACGCGGATTCACTGTTGTTTTTGCTGCCTTTCAGAAGCTCTAGATTCGGAAGACAGGTGGCAACATTGCGGCATGACATTTATCCATGTTTCATATCTTCTTTGACGGCAGGCCAAAAAAACACATGTGGGCCATATCCCCATCTAATTAGGCGAATCTACATTCACATGACCAACGCAAGACTGAGCGGTTGGCGAACCACCCCCATTCGCGATCGATCCAGGATGTGAGCTGGTTCGATCTCAAGGAGATCGCAGCGCTGCCGGCGGAGATCAACGATGACCTGGCGCTTTGGGGGGGCCTAGGGCCGAGTGGGAGACATGAAAAGGGGACTTCCAGAGCAACCAGTTCCAAGGGAATGGTCAACTTAGTCAACTTTATAGTCCTTACTACCTTACTAAGTCAAGTGGTTGGCTAGCAGTGACTGCAGCAGGCACCCCGACTTCCTCCAAGAAGAGCACCCCAATCAGGGAACTGCTGGTATACCGTTGGGGTTTTAGATCAGACTGACTTATAAGGTTTTGCCAGCGCCATGACCTTCCTGAAGTGTCGGTGTTTCAGTCTCCCGCCTGTGGGTTAAACTACTCGTATTTGGTGAAAAAAACCGCATGCTATGACAAAAAGATGCACTGCAACAGACGTGCAGTCTTACCCATCTCTGGACCCTCAAGGACTCACCAACCACCCCAACCACCCTATACCCGCGCGCGCGCGCCATCTGGACGACCCTGAAGAGGAGAAGATCCAAGACGCTTTCGGCGACAAGTTCGGGAACGGTGTGATGTCGGGGTCGGCGTTCATCGGTGGTTTCGCCTGTGCCTTTGGACTGGGCTGGCTGGTGGCGCTGGTGATGTGCGCCATGCTTCCCTTCATGGGCGTGGGTGCGGCGATCATGGGAAAGGCGCGGGCCGGCGGTTTGGACCTTTGGTTTTTTCGGGCGCCTGCGGATCAAACACCCAAGCAGGTCTCGCATCAAACACATGTGACACATCGTTTTTTCATCGTGGGGGTCATGGTGTTCTGACAGGGGTGGCGTCCGCATGCGTCCGCCCTTCAGCTCGGTGGCTTGGTGACCTACGCTTTGGGCAGAGGAAATTGACATGGCCCTATATAGCCGATGAACTCACTAAGATGGAAGTAGATCATGGAAGTAGATGGCATTGGCCGTTGGAAGGCTCCTTTCCTTTAGGGAACTCCACTTCCATGATCACTGTGATGTGTTCGTCGCAGCGTCGTTGATTTCATGGTCCATCAGCCTCCGACGCGTCAACGCATCAACCAGTCCGGAAGGGTTGGACTCTTCGTTCTTCGCCCCATGAGCCTCGTGCATTTGAAAGACTCGTTTCCTTTCAAGAACCAGACATATAATCTTACATGGAGTATTGGAGGATCATTTGATGTTCATCCTGAGCCCCATGTTCAGGTTGGACGATTTGGTTCAGGGCTTGGAAGTGAAGCCGGCGCTCGTCTCGAGCGGTGTTCTCCGTCAGGCCGTGCAAGAGATCCAGATGGAGTCGCAAAGTTGGTATGCCAAAGCGGCCGCCGTGGTGGAGGACACCAGTCGAGACCGTGTGTGGCGGACCTGCAGAAATCAAGGGATTTGTCCTAAAACGACGTAGATGACGTGAATGTGCATGGATCTTAGCCTAAGATGCCTGACCACATCGAACTGGGTTTCGCAGTGACAGCGGGCCAAAGGTAGGGCAAAGATCAGGGCGTTTGACGCAGCAGCACTTCAGTGCGTTCGCTGGGGAAACCGCGCAGAGTAGTTCAGCGAAACTGGCCGAATCGAACTTGGCCATGTACAGGTCGGATGAGTTGATGGCGGGTAGCGGTCGACATTTAACATGATTCTTTCACGATGTGAAAGCAAAGTAATGTGCGGGGTTTAAACCTTATAGTATTCTAAACAAAGGTCTCTAAAATTCTCAAAGACATCGATGAGCAAAAGAACATCAGTCTTCAAGTATAAATCGCGGTATTGTCCAAGATTTCTTATACCGAAGTGTTCCCAAATCATTTTTGCCCTTTCGATCCCTTTCGTCTTCTTCATCTGCAATGTGTTCTTTCGTGAGCTTACTCATTTCCTTTTTAGGTGGAAGTTGTCTTTCATCAAATTTTTCAAAGCTATCAAAGTAGTCATACGGATAAACCCCTTTGTCAGTCAGTAAGTCCAAAATCCTCGTTGTTGCTGACATAGGGGTTTCTCTTGCTGAATTTGAACCTTTCTTGCCAGTGCTCTCTCTTGTTGTCCTCCGCTTTGTATCGTTGCCCACGTTCGGCCCGCCGGGTTCTCACGTGTTCGGAGCCGGTGACCTGCAGCGACGTTCGGGTTCACCGCGGGTTCCCTGCGGAAGTTGTCCTTCGGTTCGCGTGCATCGCGAGGAGTGCCTCTTCGCGATGCGCACGGTGGTCGCCTTCGGTGGTGAGTTCCGAGAGCTGAAGAAGTTCGGAGAGGCGCTGGTGCACACGCGTCGAGGCCGGGTGTGTCGTGAAGACCGGTGTGTCCTTCTTTTTCTTGTGTTGTGTGCGATGATCCCTGATGTGTTGGTCTTCTTTTTTTGGAGGGGGTCCGGGTGAGAGCAAGGTGCAGGTTTGGTGTTGTGGAGGGAGGCCAGGAAGGACCTAGGAAGGAAGCGAGTCTGAGTCTGAGGTGAAGATCGCGAAAAAAAGGGTCCGAATGAGAGGCTGAGGGATTTGGTCGTGGAGTGACGTGCATTCCACGCTGCGCGCGCTTAAGCGCAGGTGGTGTGCGAAATGGCTTCAAGATTGGAGCTGGCATGGGCTACACGATGATGGTGCGCAGCAGGGGCGAAAGCTGGGATTCCGGTGCTTCAACTGGCCTCCTTTCGCGTTCTTCATATGGATTTTGTTTTTTAAATATGCCTGTAATTATCCGCCTTATATATTCCTTCAGCTCGGCATGTCACCCTGCTCACGACACGCCGTGTCCTGTGTTTCCGCAGCCACTGCAGGTGGTCTTCTTCGGCTACGCTTTGGCGTTTTGGTTCGGCATGACCTTGCGCTACAACGGAGCTTTGAACCCCTCCACGGGGAAAGAATGGCAGCCCGGCAACATCATGGCCATCTTCTTCTGCGTCTTCATTGGCAGCTTCATGCTGCTCGGCAGCTCTGGGAAGCCAGATGTAAGAGAGAACGTATAAGAAAGCAAGACAATTTAGGAATACTTAGAGAAAAAAGCAAAGATAACATGAGAAAAAATAAACACGAAGCGTTTCCAAGACCTTTTGGAAGGAGCCGAGAGGTTTTTGGTCATAAAGAGGCTCATTCCAAACGCTGACCCGTCTCTCCAGAGCACGTGGGGGAAAAGATAGAACAGGAACAGTTGCACGGGCCTGATCAAGCAAAAACAGGGAAGCTGACACACCCCTCACTGACGTCTGTCGACGCCAAGCCTCAACTCACTTCATCACTATCTCACTGCCTCTGTTGCCATCGCCCGCAGGGTGGGCAATTTGGACCCCAGCATCAAGGCCATGCAGGCCGCACGCATGGCAGCCGGCCGTTTCTTCAAGGCGACCGGGCTTCGCGTTGTCCGCCATGGCTCGTGCCGCGAGTGTGACGCGACAGGTGTGACGGGTGGTTTTGAATGGTATTTGTGGTGTGTAATGTTTTCTTTCATCGTTTTTGTTCTTTGCTCGGTGATTTTGGTGGCAGGGTGAGGTACATCCCACACTCCCATAGGGCCATAGGGATGCAAGAGTTGACATTCGATACGTGTAATATTGTGGCTCTTGCTTCAGTATTTCTTGTATCTAAATTAAGTCTAACCAGCTGTTCAGGTGCTATAAACAGATGGAAGTTCATGGACTTGTTGGCCTTTGCTCGGAGTGGACTCCGGGTTTCGTGCTTTCGTGCCCTTTTAGGTCAAAGAGAATAAGCCTGCTATCCAGTGCTATGGTGCGGATGGTCGACAGGACAGTGAAGCCATTAATGGCCGCCATAATAGAGACAGAGAGAGAGAGAGAGATTTCGTGACTGCCTCAAGCCATATCAACCTCCTCAAGAAGGATTGAGGATTGAGATGTTCTTCTTTTTTGGGGTATGTTCAGATGAGAATGGAGATGCACATGATGGTTTTGATCAGTTGGCAGGCATACGCACGAATTAGAAACATGTCCAACGAACCAAGCTTGACTTCCCTTGAGGAGATCTCCAGCATTGAGAAATTTGAGTTCCAGTCGGTTCACTTCAACTACCCAGTGCCATGGCAGCAACATTTGCCAACCAGCCGATGTTGCAAAGATTCTGGACATGTGATGTCCTGGATCTGTGTCATTCAGCTTAGTCTTCAGGCATCAGCCCTTCAGGAGCTTTGCTGGAGTGGCATGCGGCCAGAACAACCTCATTTGTATAGATCCATCTGAGGGGGTGCCCCATTAGCCGTAACAGTCGGCGAAACACCTGTGCTAAGCATCATCATCCACTGGGCCCAGGGAATAGGATGATGATATATACCCAAGATCCATCCATCCCAGATCCCTCCAGACGCGAAGACCGCGAAGATATCCCTTCCAAGAACACCTCCCAACCCGAACCCCCCTCCGAACCCCACCTCCGGGTCAGTGCCTATACGAACACCCACGCGACATGGGTTCAGAGCACGAACAAAACCCGCCGTTGGGTCCCTGCGCATCCGAACAGCATGGCCCCGGCCGAACCACGGACGTTCGCCGCTCAAGGCACGCCCTGAAGTGAAGATTCTGAACGGTCTGTCCCTCACCGTGCAGCGTGGGCAGAAGGTGGCCGTGGTGGGCGAGTCCGGCTCGGGCAAGTCCACCGCGCCTCGGCGTCCGACCCGGTCGTAGCGTTGGTCCGGTGCGTACGCCGCGCTCGTCGCGTCTCGTTTGTACGTGGAGCTTCTTCAGGTCATGGCACTGATGGAGCGCTTCTATGATCCAGCCTCCGGTGTGGTGATGGCACCTTGGTGATTTGTCGGGTCGGTCGGTCCTACTTTGGCCACCTAGAATTTCCGTAGTGGCAGTGGTCTTAAAAGGTACGTGCCGGGCGCACCTCATGGCTGATGTACTTTTAAGGTCCCGGACCTTAAGTACCGCTATGGATGCGTCCGTCGTATGTGTGCCCAATAAAGACTGACCATGTGCGCTGTAAACTGTGGGACCGTGAGAAGCCTGAGAAACCATGAGCAGGACTTAAAAAAGAAACTGTGGGACCTTGAGAAACCGTGAGAAACTGTGAGCAACCGTGAGCGGGCCTTCAGCAGCACTGCGATTGTTCAAAGCTCTCAACTAGATCTATCTTTGCTTTGGGTCGTGCAGCGCTACCTATCAGAGGATGGAAAAAATCAAAGCTGTTTTTGGACAAGGGGAAAGGAACCAAGGAACAGCTGATGCAAAACGGGCAGCTGATGGGACCCCATGTTATAGTTTTTCGGCCGTGGAAGTTCGGCGTTGACACGATTTTTCGGCGAATGTACTTTTCTAGGTCCACTTCGGCTGAGGACTTGCTTTGTAAGGTCCCAGGACTTCGAGGGTATTGTATATAAGAAACACCGATGAATGAAACCTTGGTGATGGCGGTTTTGTTTTTTTTAATGGCACCAATGGGTGCTTCGAAGCCACCGCAGCTGCGACGAGAAGACATCGTCGTGTCGACTCGGCGGGCCGACCAGACGCCAGACAGACGCCAGACAGACCCCCCTGGCACCACCCCTGGCCTTTTCTGCAGTCCGACATGGCAGTCCCAGACGCGTCGTGCCTGGGGTATACTGAAAGGATACGCGTGCCACCGATGGGCAGCGGCGTGCCATCCTTCAGGTCTTCGGGATCACGCCCGCGTGGACCCAGCACGGTCTCAGGTCAATGGCCACGATATGAAGACCTTTAAGATCAGCTCTTTGCGAAGGCTCGGTGGACGGCGAGATGGGCCAAAATCGAAGGCGAGAGGTCGACCTAGGTGTGGATGAAGAAAACATCAATTGAACAAGAAGAAGAAGAAAAAGAAGAAGAGGAAGATTAAGGAAGACAACAGCGGAAAGAACACTACAAGTGACAAAGAACGATACCGGTAAACAGCTGACGGCCTGTCGGTTGTGGTGATTCCCCAGCCAGCACCACCAGGTGCATTGGCTACGTGGGACAAGAGCCCGTTCTGTTCGCCAGCTCCATCAAGCACAACATCATGCAGGGCAATCCAGATGCCTCCAAGGCGAGCAGTTTTTCGGGCTTTTGGGGGTCCAAACGAAGAAAAAACAATTATATAGCATAATCATATCGTGTTAGTCGAATGATTATGGCAGTGGGCTACCAGCGGGGTCAACCTACCAAGGATTCCCAGGTGCCACGGTCTTCGAGTTTCATGATGGCCATGTGACGTTTTTTTCCTGCTTGATTGGATGAAAGAGGGTGGAAGCCTAGAGGGCCAAGAGAACATTCAAGCAACGCAATCTCCAGACGACCTTCCCATCAGAACACGCATGGAAGTCTTCCCATCAGAACTCTACTTCCATGCGATGTTGTTCCAAGGGTATGGTGCTCGAGCCACCCCAAAATCATTGGTACCGTAATTCATCAGGCCTCTGGGCCAAGTCTTCCGTGCCAGGAAGACTTCATTCAAGCCTGTGCGGATGCACAGCTGAACTTCGTGGACACCTTGCCGGAGAAGTACAACACCTTCGTGGGAGCCGGGGGTGGTCAACTGTCAGGTGCGGACCGAACGAACGGGGTCGAACGGGGTCGGACGTGTGCGTGCAGTTGGTTGGTCAGGTGTTGGGGCATGTCGACACCTAGATCGTCACCGTCAGACGGATTCCTTTGCTTCAAGGAGCGCCGCAACAGATGTTTTCCTTGAGGGGTACCATTCCTCAAGGCAAACTCTTGCCGTGCCTGGAATCGCAGCGGTCACGGACCTGAAGAATAAACCGACCAGAAGTTAAAAGATGTTGGCCCAGTCCCTGCCACTTTCTATCATATGTAAATTGGATTATCAAGCTGGCGCCATAGCGGAAGCAACCATTTGGTTTCTGCTTGGGACTGGGCTTCCAGACCTCAACACTGTGTAGACAGATCCTTGCAGAAGCAGAATCGATCCGTGAATCTCCATGTTTTGGTGAGCCTTGAATCATGCAAAACAGGATCCAAGGTACCGGTAAGACTCTTGATGAGTGAGTCCACCCCTTTTGAATTGGTCCTCTCGAGGCTTGGGGGCGGCCCCATTGATCAAGAGTCTACATCAAGGTTCCGTCGGTTCGGACGTGCACAGCCGCTGAAAGTGTCGTTGGGCTCCTCCCAGGTGGGCAGAAACAGCGCATTGCCATTGCCCGAGCCCTCCTCAAGAAGGCACAGACTGGCTGAAGCGCATGTCACATGTTGGCTGGTCGTCCATGTTTGTCACATGTTAATGCGGAAAAGATGATGTTGCGTTTTTTAAGCCGTTTGTCTTTCAACTTTTGTATAGACCTTCATTCCTTCCTTCCTTCCTTCCTTCCTTCCTTCCTTCCTCTTTTTGCCTGGTTTCAGCGCGTTATCACCAGTGTCCTGTGGGTGTCGTTCGCTTTATGTCAGTGTCCTGACGCTCGCAGTCTGCATCGCATGGGAGATGAGGTGTCCTTCCTTGTACCCCCCCGGTAGACCAGTCTAGGCATCCTTCCTCTTCTTGGACGAGGCGACCAGTGCATTGGACGCCCGGCGTTTCTTCGTGATGGCGACGATCGATCCGGCTGTGGTGGAAGCAACTGCACGTCGAAGCAACTGACAGAAAGCTTATGGATAAACTGATATAGGCTAATAAGTTTTGCAGACATGACATCAGAGCCAAGAGCATTCGATTCTATCACATCCAAGGACAACACATCAGAGAAGATGATTCAGCAGACCATTGATAGCATCAGCTGCTTTGCGGCACAACTATGGTGATAACGTCGCACTTTGCTACTAGTAGAGCTTGTCCTCGTTCACACGAAAGGACAAGCTCAGATTTTGATATGGAAGACGCTCCCCCCCAGATGGATGGACCATTTGGCATTATAGTTCCCTAGAGCTCCAAGTACCTCCTTAGAAGGTATTTGGACCCTCTAAACCCACCCCAAACACCTTCTAAGAAGGTTCTTGGAGCCCCACGGGTTATTTTTTGCAGCCATTGACCGTGGCATGTGTTAAAACGCCGGACGCATGTCCGTTTCATTCAGCGTTTTGGCTTGCTCTTTCGAACCAGGACGCCCCCAGAAAAGAGCACATTCCAGTTGGATTTCTGGTGGATCCGCGCTTCTCTTCCTCTTTCCGGTGCGTCCTGTGAGGCTCCAAATCCGAGAGTGGTCTCGGCATTGTGAGCATCGCCCACCGTTTGAGCACGGTGCGCCCCTTGGCGCCGCAAGAGCACCGAAGACACGCGGTCTCGACGCGGGGAGCGCGACGCGGGCCGCCCGCGGAACGACGCCGAAAATGCCCAGGTTCGGAAAGCGTCGGGGCTTTGAAAGCACATGAATGCACTATAGGCCATCCAAAGCTGTTCTGGAGATTGGGGCCATGGGTCATTGGGGTGAATGCAGCGTCTGCAATGTATATAATAGGTTGGAAGTACTCATTCCCAGAGTTGAACAAGAATCTGGTCTATTCAAAAATTGCATCGGATTGAGCCTTTGTTTCCAAAATTCAGTATCTATGCAAGCACCCTGACTGCCAAGGCTCCTTTGGAGGGGTGTTAGGCTTTGTTTGTTGGAAGTCTCTATTGACCTGTTGGATGGTGCTGGTATTTGTCTAGTCAATTTCAGCCTTTTCGCTGGTGATTTAGATGAGAAGGCAGAAGTGTTGCGCAGTTGGACGTCCGTCTGTGTGCCTGGATCTCCCAACTATGTTAAACTGGAGCGGAACGCATGCCTTTAACATCAATTAAAACCAGCAAGTTAGCTGGAGCCTCAAAGTACCCCGGAAAATGGGTACAAGTACCTGTTTTTATAGGGCCATGTCCCATTTTTTAGAGTACTTGAAGTCGGGTCCAGGTATATGTTTTGCAAGTCTTCTCCCAAATACGACGTGTCCTAGCTACATCGAACCGAATTACACCGTACATCTACATGGGTGTAGACACCGATCAAGGCACCGCCCAGCGGCGTGCTTCAGCACCCAAAAGGATGCAGAGAGGAAGGAACTATATATAGGTTGAAAAAGGACATTCCGAACCAGAACCACAAGGACATCAACGAAGGAAGCAAGAATCATCTTGTCGAACCAGAAGTAGAAGAACAAAAGGACATCAACGAAGGAAGCAAAAAGGAAGAACCTGGTGCTTCAACCATGTTCAAGAAGAGGCGATGTCGTGATGACTGACGCGCTGAGGCAACGCAGACCTGATCTACGTGCTGAGTCAGGGATCGCTGGTGGAGAAGGGTCACTGGGTTTCCCAACTTTCCGCGACGACAGCGGATTTCGGTCGACACTTGAGGAGTGATCGATGTATAATATAGAGGAACTTAGAGGATATCGGAGCCAAACCCCCAAAGGGCGAGGCCCACTGACGATTTCAGGAGGCGTGAGGCCGGTCCGTTTTCTACGTCGGTGGCGTTCGACGCCGCGGCGCCGTCGGCGCGTCAGAACGAGGCAACCATGCGAGCCTCATGGACAAGAAGGGTACCTACTATGCGCTGGTGGCTGCCCAAGAGTCCTCGGAGAAGATGGAGGACGGAGCGGGGCCCGGCTTGGGAGATGTAGGGATCGATGTGGAGAGAGGTAATTTGTGTGGATGGGGTGTGGTGGACAGCTGACCTGGTGGAACCACAGGTAAGATCATGTAAGTAGGGGGGTCTCTTGTAAGGTTCTCCCAAAAAGTCGGAGTTTTCGGGTTCAGGATGACCTCTCTGGCTTGGGAGAAAGATGACCTCTCCGACCCAGCCTCTCCGACCAAGTCGGACCCATGTGTTAGTGTATTGACTGACATTGGTCCTGGTTGGTTGGTGGCAGGTGACGTGGCAGGCGTTGAAGGTATGCCAGCTTTGTCGCACTTGGCTTTGTCGCCTGAACCGACTCCTGTGTAGTGAGAGCTCAGGAGAATGACCAGCCAGGGCTTCCTCATGAACACACCTCGGCGATCCTGCAGAGGAGGGATTCGGAACATAGCGCTGTGCCTGGCCAGCTTCATGGACGGGACGGTTTTTGACCGCTGGCCCACCCAGGTTCCCATGACCTCAGACATTCCAGTGGAAAAGCACCACCACCTTGGAAAAATCCTTGAAATGGATGGTCATGAGAAAAGCCCAAAGAAGCCACTTGTTTCCTGGGGGACAAGCCCCGAAAAACCTTCCCGGTGACTCTCCTGGTTCGGGGGCTTTCCAGCCCATGCGCCGATCGCCACCCGTTCGATCGGCTGACGTGAAGAAGGCTCGGCTTGTCCTCCCTTCGGTGCGTCAAAGATGGTCACAGTTGAAGTCCGGCCATGAACGCACCACCTCCAAGCCGCTTCGCTCTGGACCCGACGTAGATGGGGGGGGCCGAACCCCCGGTCGTCCCGAAACGAAACGAAACGGTGGCGACGGGACGTCGAAGCGCACCGTGAACCTCTGCCTTCGGAATCGGAGACGGGCCTCAGGAATCGGAGACGGCACGCGTGCAACGGGAGAAGAAGGAAGAAGAGGAGCGAGCGAAGAAAATCGAGGAGTACAAGGTGCCATGCTCTTCGAAGGTCACGGCCAATCCACCTGTCAAAGCTATCCGTGGCCCTCTAGACATGTGTACATGATGTGTATCAGGAATTTCCAAGGGGTGTCCTGGCTGGACTACCCCACACCACCTATAGGCTTCCAGACAGGGCCACGGTTTTGCCCCTGAAATGAAGCCCACGAGGAATAGAGCATGTACAGGCACTTGTTACTAGTAAGGCACTTGTTCCTAGTAGCGATGCCAGGAGCCCCGTTCGTAGAGCGATGCCCTTTGCACATGGGTATGCCTCGCAAATGGGTTTCACCATGTTTCACCACAGCTCCTGGGCGCACAAGGTACAATGAAACAAACAGCGTGGTCTGCGTGTAAAGAAGATAGACCAAACCAATTGGTCCTGCGTTCGTTTCCTTTCCTTCAACAGCCCGACACCTGCTGGAACAACGTGGTGTTCCTCCCCCCTTTAACAAAAAAACAAACATCCAAACCTGGTCGTGTTGGACCCGGTGGTGGTGCCACAGCATTTCGCGAAACGGAACGTGAGCACATCAGGTGCCCATGTCGCGACTGTTGAGCTACAACCGTCCCGAGTGGCCCTTCTTTGTGCCAGCGGTGTTGGGCGCATTGCTGGATGGTGCTGCCATGCCGGCTGGGCACCTCAAGACGAGAGAGTCGGGGTTGGCGGTCAGAACTGCAGTTCGGTGTGTGCGGGATAGTGCAGGTGTTGTTCGCAGATGCTTCACGCTGTCCATCTAGTTTGACCTTTGGCGCCACGTCTCACTGGACCACTCGATTTCAACGTCCAAGCCGACCGCCGAACCGCCACCGTGGTTGACGTCGTTCGTCGTTCGTCGCAAGGTTTGCACGGTGGCACTCGTTGGATCGATGGATGCCTTCTTCAAACCCGACAAGGCGCGTGGGTTTTGTGCTCGGCGTGTGTCAAGTGGCCGGAAACGTTCTTCGACCTCGCTGGTGGAAGCCGGATGTTGACTCTAGATTCTAGTAGCCTGAAGGGTGGTCCCTCAAGAATGGCCACCTTTTGGAACCGTCTCGTTTCCACTCTCAGCTGATCGACTGTTGAAGATGGAGCTGGGCCGATGACGACATCAGAGCCTGCACAAGGGCACAGTGGTGTCACTCAGAGCGTTTTCAAGCGTCAGCTGCTCTGTCCCGACTCCTGTCCACCCCAAAAGGCGCACCCTCAGTCCACCGAGAAAGGGGAAGACGAGGATCTCCTGTTTTTCTCGATCTTTCTAGGAAGAGATGAAAGCCGAGCTGGAGTTGATGGCTGCCGCGGCCTCGGTGTGTTTGCCCACATGCACCACTGTCGTCCCTCAACATGCTGCAAGCCACAGCAAGGGTCCTGAGTCCTGAGCTCTATCAGTATAATGGTCCTGGGTCGTAGTGGCTACATGCTTGCAGAATGGCCGAACAAGGGGGGCTGCCTTGCGCAGCGCCCATGTATGCCCGAGATCATTTTCGTCATCATCGGCGTGAGCTGCTTGATCGGGAGCACCATCTCGTATCTCGTCCTACTGGGTGGTGGTTTCGGATATTTTTACTTTCAACCGATTTACTTGCGATAATTGAGCCCACTGAATAGTTTTCAAGTGAACTGAAACCACCAACCAGCCTGGTTCGGGCGATCCTCTTCACTGTCGGACTGGAATGCTACATGGTACATGGACCCCCCCCAAAAAAGACGACGACGACGACGACAACAACAACAACACCCCTGGCCTGATTGGTACATACCTGGCGCTCACCAGTCCCAACCCCACTTTGCCATTTGTTGGCGCAGGGCGGGTTTTCCCCTTCCATTCTCCTTGGAGTGGTGCTCTGAAGGAGCTGTTGCCGGCCCGGGCTTCCGTCTTCTGCTGTTGCCGGCAGCTCAGGCATGGCTGCTTCTCCATTTTGGGTGAGGCGATGACCCAACGCTTGCGCGTGGCCATTTTGACGTCCATGTTCCGCCAGGAGGGCGACCTTATCGGATCGGGACGCCATTTCCAAAGCGGCGATGCGCGTGGGAAGCGACCGGTTTGGGCCGGGGGAGACTGGACGAGCTAGTGCTTAGGATGGTTTGAATCAGGGAGCGGCTTCAAAGCTGGGGGGGGTTCAACTCATTTCTCCTCCAAAGCAGCCGAGGGCCCAGCGAGTTCCACGAAGCGGCTTGTCGAATCGGCTGGTCCTACGCATTGGTCCTCTCCTTGGCTTCGCGGACGACGTCCAGTCTTTCGACCGCCGATTCGACACAGGAGGTGGGCTATCACGACAATCCTGAGAACACCCCAGGCCGGCTGACATCATACCTGGTTGCTCCATGTTACTGTTAGAAAGCAAAGGAGCCGACCTCAGGTTTGCTGGGCTTGCTGTTTGCTGGGCTGGCAGTGGCGTAGTTTCTCCACGTGGAGGAAGCACGTGTTGGACACCATGTACAGCTGCTCCCCCCCACAAGTCAAGTGAAACCGACCGGGCCGGGCCCCGGTGAACCCGACGTCGACAACCCGACTGACTTCTGGCAGGTATGCTGTCCAAGGCATTGGAACTGTGGGCCTTCCGGGTGGCCACCTTGTGCAAATCCATTCAAGCGAAGGCCAATGCGATGTCGCACGCGCCGACGTGAGGGAGAGTGAAAAAGCACGTGTGAACAAGCGGACGGCGTGAGAATGTCTCACGGACGTCACACAAGTCCTTGGTGTCGTTCTCTTGGAATGATTGCTCGGAGGATTCTGAGAGACCCTATAGGTGTAAAAGGGAGGCTGGTGTTCTTCTTTCGCCGCCATGAGCTCAAGAGACTGTGAGTTCCATGCTTCAAGTATTGTAAATTTATTCGCCTACTAGGTCCCATGATAGCCCCCCAGTTGTTTAATGTGTTATACATTTATATGTTTAAGACTGACGTCACCGCTCCTCTTTCACCAAGTCTCCCTCCACTTTTGGCGACGTTCGTCGAGATGGTTCGGTGGTTCGTGCGTGTGGCGAGCTGTCGAAGGGGAGGGAAACAAGCGGCTTGCAGAAAGAAAAGAACACACGTTTACTGGTCTATAAAGAGGCAAATGAGAGGAGAGCAAAGGTCCAAATGGTTCATCTACAAGAAATGCAACAAGAGAAGGAGAGTGGGCTTGTGGAGAGTGCGGCACTAAGTCACTATATACACTATAAGGTCACTACACTGGTCGATATCGGAGTTTTTCTCTTTTTTTTCCGGTTTCGGTTTCGGGCCCCACTCCTCCACCAGGCTGCTGCCATGAGCTCACTGGTGGTGGGCTTGGTCTTGGCTTTTGCATACTGTTGGCAGATGTCTTTGGTGATGTTGGGTTCCATCCCTGTCATGGCCCCACAGCTGCATCTGGATGTTTGGAAACGCACGAGAACGTCGCGTGTCCACCGGAAGAACCAATTGGAAACGGTGCCATGACTGGCTTTCACAAGCATTTGGTGTTTATTATCTTTGCTTGCAAATTTAGAGGATCCTGTCACCAAAGCACGTTGCTGGGCTTGATTAGTTTGACATTGAGATACATTGAACTCAAAAACCGCACACGTGTTCTGCCACCGATGAGTTTGTGCTAGATTTTTCATGCACCTTGCACTGTTGCACTGCACATCTCAAGTGTTTCTGGCAGATTCTGGCGAATGCCATCCAGATGATGGTGCTGCTGGGTGCTTCGAAGAATGAGCATCCTGGCAAAAAAATTGAAGATATAAGCGGAACAATCACCTAGTTTGGTTCCCTTTGGTCGAGTGAATGGGGTTGCGTATTGTTGACATGGCAAGCCAGCTCTTTAAAGTCTTCGAGGGCTTAGGCTTTTCTTTTACACATGAGACCGGCGGTTCACACGGTTCCTTGTTCCAAGGGGCTTTGTGCCTCAAAGACAGGAAGAGGGACCTGTTAACATGAGGTGTCCGCCTCTGGTTCGTCGCGGCACGAAAACCCCCCCCCGACGATTCGGGACCGCGGCGACCGCGGGACCCTCGAACATCCTGTTTGTTCAGCACATGACCTGCTGGTCCCACCCTGCTTCGGTGTTCACCGGCTTCTCCAAGGAAACTGGGGACCAGGCCCAACGAACCAGGCCCAAAAATGGGACAAACAACTGTCACCTTCTTCTCTACCACCGGTTTTCCTGGAACAGGGCGTACCTGCTGAACGGCCCTGACGTCTGAAGAAGTTACCGCGCAACCGGCGGTCCGGCTTCCGCAGGAACACGAACCTGAAGAACGCCCAGCAGATCGTCACCGACTCGGTGATGAACGCACGCACCGTCCAAGCCATGGGCGTGGAGAAGTCGTTGGTGGCGATGTACGTGGGTGGCTTGGTGGATCCACCGGGTGCTCCCGGGTTCGGTACGGGAGCACCGGCTTAGGACAGTGTCGAAGACATCACCGTAGTTGAGGAGGTAGTGGGCATCCCAGGGTTCAGCCACATGTGGAAGTTGAAGCACGCCCGGAACGTTTTGGCAATGGTGGGGTGCTAGCTGGTGTGTTTCTTTGGCAAAGACCCATTAGGATCCATTAGGTGCTTTCTTGTTAAATCATCATTTAGTCTTCAGAAACTTCTTCTGTGGCTGCTTGGGCCAAAGAATCAATTCCAACTTGATCGCATGGGGCGCCAGCAGAGGAGCTGTTGAGAAAGCGCCCCAGACGACTTCTGCCCAACGTCGAACGTCGAACGACGGGTGTTTCACCGCCCAACATCGCCATGTCCGAACTCTGCGTCCAAATCAGCGAACTCAGCGAGTTACACAGGTTGGGTGGACAAGTCCGTGCACGGCATGTGTCGCCGCAACTTCTTGGCTGGCTTGGGCTTCGGAGTTGCCTCAGGCGCCGGCTTGGGAAGGACGAAGAACTGATGCGATGAAACCGAAGAAGCAATTGAGAGGACGAACTGATCGTTTTTATGTGTCCTTCTGTTTGAACGTTTGCAGAAAGCATTTAGAGTCAGGATATTCAATATATATATTTATATATATCAATGAGAAGCAGATCTGAATGCCCAGGCATTATGTTCTTCATCATGGCTGGGGGCTTTTACATCGCCTCCATCCTGATCAGAGATGGAACTGCGGACTTCAGGGGAGAGTCTCGGATTGACCACGAGGTATACGTGGACGGGTGTTCCCACGGCGGAGTTCACCCCATCGCCGGGCCCATGGCCATACCCAACTTCCCCACCCATCTGGACTGGAAGAGATGCCGATTGATTTGATCCCTCTTCAACCCACGCCTCCGGCGCCACATGGTCAGTCCCGATTTGCTCCGACGCCTCACCGTCGGACGCCCCGATACTCAGTACTCGTTCGTCCCGTGGCGTTCGGGGCGGGGCGTGCATCCTCCGCGACGGCCGAGGTCATGATGGCTTTCATGGGCATTTTCTATGCTGGCATGGGCGCAGGACGAGACCATAAGCGGTGAAGCATCAGAAACCGCAGCCGGTGTGAAACACCGGCAAAGACCACGTTCATCCGAACTCCGCGAACACGCACGCCGCGGCAAGGACAAGCCGCCGTGATGGTTGGAGATGCCACCAAAGCCAAGGTGACTAAGCTGAGTGCGTGATGGTTTTCAGAGCATGCCGACGTCATGCCGCATTTGGATGCCAGGATATGCCAGGTGTCATCAACAAACACCACACCTGTACGACCACGGAAAGGGTGGTGTATGAAGACCCCTGACTATGAATTTTTGCGTCTATATAACCAGCCCTTCTGTGGCCCTGATGATTACTCCTTTCTTTGTCACGAATCAATTTTCCTGTGAGAGTTGAGAAGGGTTGATGGAAGCGAGCCATCGGATCATGAAGACACTTCGTCGTCAGATGAATCCCACCACTAGTCCCACCACTAGTCAACCCGCTACTGATCCCACCATTTGCTTCGTCTTCGGCTTCGTTTCTTCAGTTCTTCACGCGCGTGGTATGCGTTGGATCGTCGGCACTCAGGTCGCTTGCCACGACATGTTCAAGCTCATGGACCGAGCCCCTTGGCTCATCCGGTCTCTGAGGGTCGGAGCCCGGTTGGGTCGACAGCGGCCGTGGGATCGGTGGAAAAGGGGAGCTTCTTGAGAAAGACGCCTAAGGAAAGATGTACTGCATAGTTTACTGCATCTATCCAGTTACTTTGGGATCCTTGGTATTATATATATCTATCCCAGACACGATCTGTCTGGGACTGCCATTACAAGCACTTGTGTTAAGTCGTCTGGTCTTGTAGAAAGTCGTCTGGATGTTGCGTTTCCATTGGGGTTAGATGCAAGATGGCAATATAGCTGGAAGAGCATTAGGTCAACATAGGTCAACAACATTGTTTGGATGCTGCGTTTCCATTGGGGTTAGATGCAAGATGTCACCCTCATTGGAAGATAAGCTTTGGAGCGTCAGTTCAACACCATTGTTTGGGTACATGGGACGTGAGTACATGGGCCGTGGGTACATGGGTGCATGGGACTCGCGCGGCACTCCTCACCATGTTTCCTTTAGTGATCTTTTCCACATGAAGGTCATCACTGCACAGCTCTTGAAGAGCAAAGCAAGCAGGGCAGCGTGCTGCATCTATGTTTAGGGGGGTAATCATCACGATAGTCCTAACCTTGCGTTCTGATTGGGGTTCGGTCACCAAAACGCTGCAAGCTTCGACATAAAACTAGTTCTTTCCCTGCACAGGGGCAGTTAATTCTTCATGTATAGCAGTTTTGACAAACATACTTCCGTAGAGCGTTTACATTGTGTGTTGACATAAAACGGGTGACTTTTCGCGAGCCGGGTGACTTTTGACTAATGCTGCGTTTCCATGCGGCCGGGTGACTTTCTGCAAATTCGGGTGACTAAACCCCAGCGCTAGTATGTGCCGCCCCATTGACCTGGCACTGGCACCACCCCAATGTAGACATATATATGGCAGTCCCATTAGTCGTGTTTGGGTAAGTCAATTTCATTGGACTTGGGTCATGATGACATTTGGGTCTCAAGATCTCGGTGTATCAGTACAGTGGTGGGACAGTGGTGGATCATGCACATGTTTTTTCATCATGTGGATCAGCTGTGCCCTTGGTGAAACAGCTCCGTCCCTTCGACACCGGCAGCGCGTCCGGGACCGGCACGGGACCGGCGCCAGCGCCGCACCGGAGCGTCCGGAGCGGTCCGAGGTCTCGTTGATCGAGGGCTTGGAACCTCGGGGCGACTCGCCGCCAGGGCTGGACGCGGGGACCATCGAGTTTCAGGACCGCGTCGGTTTTCCGCGAAACGGGAGTGAGGCGAACGCGAGGGAGTGAGGAGGCGACCGCTGAGGCGTTGTGTGTGCCGCCGTGGAGGGGAGTGAGGGGGAGGGCGTAGGGGGGTGAAAAAGCCGCAACAAAGGGCGGCTGAGACCTTGGGGGGTAGGGAGCTTTTTCCGAGATGTGGAAAGGTTCTGAGAGAAGCAAATAACGAGCAAAGGGCAAGGAAGACACTAAAGGTCCTTTAGCAGCAACGGAGGAAAAGGAAGAAAGGTACTGTAACTCCCCTAAAAAGAAAGACCTAAAGCAAAAACTGTGAATTTAGCATGGCATGAACGCTTGGCACCATTGAACCATCAGGTCTAAGCTGTTTACTTCCTGTCGCCAAAGGGCCCGAGCCAATACGCTCATTCGAGCGCCAGACGCAAAAGGTCGCCATGGTTGCATTTGGTTGATCTTTCATAGACCCCACGTTCCACCAGCAAGTGGGTGCTCTAGTTGGCACCGGAGCCTGTGGTTGCAGGATCTTCGGTCGATGTTCGATTTTGATGATCTGAGTGCCCCGGCTCTTTCCATGAGTGACGTTGCCCCTCCGCCTGAGGATGCAGGTTCAGATGCCGATCCCTCTTGGCGATGTTGGTCGTGTGACAACGACACGTTTACATGGACTGGCGAGGGTTGGAAATGTGCTAGATGTCGGAGCAGTGACTACTACAACATTGTTCAGTCGCAAAAGCATGAGACAGATCATGGTATTTGGATGTATGTCCCCCGACAGTCGCAAGCTAGTTCCCCGACTTCCTCTCCTCCACCGTTGTTGCCGGATCCTTCGCAAGCAACGTTGTTGGTCGATCGTGCAAGTCGAGTGTTGAACCGGCCAAGACATGGACCTCCAGTTCCTCCTCAAGAGCATGAAGGACGTGAACAGGCAGAGTCCGAGCCTTTGACTGATGACCCGATCATCGAGCTTGAAGGCATGGTTGGAAAGAGCAGGAGCAGTCGTAGATCCAGGAGAAGACGAGCCCAACAGAACAAAGCAGTTGAAGCACCGGCCAACGTTGTTGATACAGGTACAGGTGTTGACATTGGTGTTGGTGCACAACAATCGCAGTTACAGCCACAAGACAATACAGCACAGCTCAACAGGTCGTTGGCAAGCTTGGTGAAGACATTGCAAAATGCAGTCAACAAAGCTGAGCATGCATCAGAGAGCAGTTCATCTTCTTGGAACTCCCGAATGGGACCGGAGAAAGGTGTTCGCTATAGAACTGGTGCTCCACCGCCTCCACCGGCGTGGAAATACAACAAGGACGACTTGAGGAGCTTCCCAAAGTGGCAACGCAAACTGTCAGTCTGGAAGCGGCAAATCGCTGGTTACATGAGCAAGAAGGACGCTGCACTTCTTTTGTACTCTTCATTGACTGGAGAGGCGGAAGAAGAGTTGGAGCATTGTGACCTGGACCGCTTGGAATCAGCTGATGGTATAGAGTACATTGAGCAAACATTGCAGTCAGGTTTGGCCACACGCTTGGTGTATCAGAAGCGCAAGCTCATGGCAGATTATGAGAGCATTGTTCGACAGCCAGGTGAATCCATGCGTGCGTACTCCAACAGATATCGCAGATGCGAGATTGCACTACAGTCTGTCGCAGTAGATGTTTCAGGAATGTATGACTCGGAGAGTCGAGGCAATCGGTTGTTGGAGAGAAGCCGCATCAGTCCGGAAAACCAAAGGCTGGTTCTCATTGGCTCAGGTTACAAGTTGACCTATGAATCCATCGTTGAGTCATTGTGCATGAGCTTTCCTGAGCACAAGCCACCGCCGCAGTTGTTTGGGAAAGATGGCCAACCTATCAAAGCAAAGTTTTCACCTTCTACTTCGAGTTCATCCACCTCATCTTCAGCATCCACAAGTGCCACTTCCTATCGGTCCTTTGGAAGCAACTCGTTCCGAGACCGAGACAGGAAGGGAAAGGGCAAGGGCAAGGTCCGCCAGGCATTTGTTGCGGAAGCTGCTGAAGAGCCTCTCGAGGCCATCGACGAGGATGATGAAGAGTTTCACGATCCTGAATTTGAGGATCAACCGGATTCCGTCGAGTTTGAAGAGCCCGACGACAACATTGAGCAAGATGATGATGTTGAGTTGTTGGAGGATGATCCTTTCGATCCTCAAGCTATTGCTCAGGTCCTCACAGTGACGGCCAAAAAGTTGCAAGGCCTGACTTTAGGCCGGAAGTTCACTGGAGCAAAGTCCGTGGAAGAGCGCAAGAAGAACTCGACATGTTCTGCCTGCGGACAGCCAGGACACTGGCATGGGGACAGTGTTTGTCCAAAGTCAGGCAAAGCCGGAAAGGGATCCAAAGGATCAGGCAAAAGCTTTGACAAGGACTCCGCAAAGGGCGCATCCAAGTCGAAAAAGGTCTACATTGGAGTTCACCATCCGGATGGAACCAGCACCAGTCATGACACCTCCGTTGAACCTCCATGTCAAGAACCTCCACCCATCACCAACTACTTCACCTTCGTTGCAGTGGTTGCTCATGAGGTTTTTACAGTTGATTCTTCATTGCAGGGCATGATGGTGATAGATACAGCCTGTCAGAGAACATGTGCAGGGTTGCAGTGGTTGGATGGTTACACCTCCCTTCTCCAACAGCATCGACTTTGTTGCAAGCGCATCACCGCGCCCGAGGCCTTTCAGTTTGGCCGTGGAGATCCGATCGAGGCGAGACATCGAGTCTATTTGCCGGCTTGCTTTGATGATCATTTGTTGTTGATTGGGGCAAGTGCAGTTGATACAGGTATTCCTTTGCTTGCATCAAACACGTTTTTGGAAACCATGCAGTCAATCATTGATGTTGCAAACTCGTGCATTCACTTTGGAGCAATTGATGTCACATTGCCACTTGTTAAGATCAATGGTCATTTGACAGTTGCAATCGCACAGTTTCCAAAAGATGTTCACAAGCATTCTGTTTGGCAACGCCTTTCATCAGAAGAGTTTTGGCATGACCCTCACCCGGAGATTCTGTCAGATGAGTTCGACATCCGAGATCTTTCGAGGCCCAAGCGAACGGCAGGTGTGCTCACTGCGACGGATGTTGCGACCAGCACCTCCCAGATGGATGCAAGCTTGGCGCCGCTTGGTTCAGGCACTTCTCAGCCTGGAATGGATCACACTCCATTGGATGTCATCCATGGTGAGGCTCGGCTGCAAACCCTTCAACAGGGCTTGGATGACGCTGCAAGAGAGATTCCAGCAGCAGGAGGCAGATCAGCAGATGGCTCGCATCAAGTGGGAGCCCGTGAACATGCCCAAGGAGTGCTCTCATCCCGAGTGGAAGCGCCACGGGAACAAGTACGGTTCCTACGCGACGTGCACCCTGTGCCACACCAGGGTCAAGTGGAACACGGAAGAGCAAACTTGGGAGGCTTCAGCTGGATGGTCGGTCTCGCAAAGATCTTCCTTGCCGCAGCCATCCTCTTCAAATATCTCGCAACCGGTATCGGTCTCAGGCAAGACGGCCATGCGAGCCACTCAGCCCAAATCCAAGAGCAAGGCCAAGCCAATTCAGTCAGCGGGAACTCAGCCATCCCCGCTACCTCCTCCACCGAGTTCAGCCTCTTCTCGCCAGGGTTCGAGGATGCGTTCGACACCCTTGGGGGCATACGCCCAGCAGTTGGCCAGTCAGGGCCAAATGGTGATCCACTCGGACGAGGAGACGGTTATGAGTCACACGGATGTGAACAGCCAGGACGAGGAGTGGTACTGGGACGACAAGACCTTTCACTCTCCGTCGGTCCTTCCATCTCCATCGACAGTGCCGGATCAGGCATGGGCCGATCACGAGGCAAAAACTCAGGAGTGGATCGATCAGGGAGCCCCAGCAGCACTCTTTCGTTGAAGCCCGGATTCAAGAAGCAGCTCATCGGCAAGATCAAGAAGGCAAAGCATGCAGCTGAGACAGAGCTCAACCTCTATGAGGCCTTAGCTACAAAACACCGGACAATGCAATCGAGGACTGACATTTTGGAAGTCTTCGCAGGCCGAGGTTTGATCTCTTCACAAGCTCCACGGCATGGACTCTCAGCATGCACACCGGTTGACTACAACACCGGCTTTGACCTTGCCACAGCTGCCGATCAAGCCCGAGTGAGACAGATCCAAAAGAAGCTTCGACCATTGTTTTTGATAGCTCAGCTTCACTGCACTCCATGGCTCTTGATGCAGGACAACATGAACTATGTCAACCGCCCGGAGGAGCTAGAGGCAAGAAGAGCATTGGAACGGCCCGTGGTCGAAGAAGCAATGCAGTGGTGTCGAACCCAACATGCAGCTGGACATTTCTACCTCTTGGAGAATCCATTGACCAGTCGACTATGGCAAGAGGAGGCAGTTCAATCCATGCTGCACGACACCGGCGCCTTCTTTGTGACCTGCCACTCAGGTGCATATGGAGCCAAGAACACCAAAGGTCAGATGATCAAGAAGACCTTTCAATTCGCATCAAACAACAAGGACATTCTGCACTACCTCAGCGACAAGTTGACGGCAGAAGAACTGAAGCAGTGTGTGCCACTTGAGGGAAAGGATGTGACCCAATCTCAAGAATACCCTCAACGCTTGATCACCTCTATCCTCCAGGGTGTGAGATACGTGGCCAAGTTGCACAACCCCACTCGCTTCAGCATCAAGAAGGTCTATGCAGCCTTCTCCCAGCCGGACACAGACCAAGAGAAGTGGCAAGACGTGATCGCCCGTGCTAGATTGCTTTTCACTTCATCAAGTACGAGCAACATCATTTTGGAGCAGCAAGACCAGCTTCACAAACAGATTCAAGCACTACTACCATGGGAGATCACGCGGCTTCAATTGGCCTGGAGACCACTTGTCCAAAGGATGCCACAGCACGTGCCTCATACACACCGAGGTCAAGTCCTGAAGTACATCGGCCGAGAGAAGTTGCACATCTCCTCGGAGGACTTGTCTGACGTCCACTTTCCTCGCGGACGCTTTGAGGCACCTGTGGACATAGCCGTATTCTTTTTCGGCTACCCGCAAACAGCAGATGAGGACATTGGCATTCCTGGTGAAGAAGCTCACCTACATGACCAGGATCCAGAGCAACAGCTGCAAAGAGAAAACCCGACAAAAGAGGTGTTCCACGATGAGATCTTCTTCCCAAACGCCTCCAACATTGATCGTTCGATCAAGGCAGCAGTTGCAAGGATGCATAAGAACATGGGTCATTTGCCACCAGCTGAGATCCTCAAGCTGCTAGCACTCAATGGCATCACCAGTGACCAGGTGATAAAAGCCACGAAAGCTATGGTTTGCTCAGCATGCCAAAGAGCAAAGCCACCAAAGCCACCGAATCCAGCATCCTCACATCCGCAGTATCTTGGACAGTTTGCTGACAACGTCCAGGCAGACATCTTCTACCTACGGGACATGTCCTCCAAGAACTACCCCATCTTGTGCATGATTTGTGAGGCTACTCATTTGCATGCTGCGATTCGTTTGGAGTCAAGACAGCCCATCCATGTGGCCAAGGCATTGAGAGAAGCTTGGGTTCGCAACTTCGGCTTCCCGCTTCGTTTGTCTGTTGACGATGATGGAGCATTCAAGTCAGACTTCATGAATTTTTGTGATGAAGGTGGCACATTTGTTGACTTCATCCCACCAGAGGCACACTACAAGCTGGGCACCATCGAAAGGCACAATGGCACCCTCCGTATGTTGTTGGAAAGAATCGTGGACTCCACTCCATGCACATCACCGGAGGACCTTGACAACGCCATCGTGTCGGCATTGTATGCCAAGAACTCAGCAACATGGAGCTCAGGCAGACCTCCCTATATTGCTGCATTTGGAAAGATCCCTCGCATTGGACTGGATTTCATCAATGATCCTCGAGCTCTTGTCGCAGGATCCACCCGGTCCGACATGCAGCAACAAGCTGCGATGATGAGATGTGAGGCCTACAAGGCCATTGCTGAAGCCACAGCTTCATCGACTTTGAGAAGAGCCCTGCTGCGCAAGACAAATGTGCAACCGATCATGGATCCAACTCCCGGGTCGCTATTGGCCTATTGGAGGTGGACAGTCCGCTCACACCGCAAGCGTGGCGGATATCGGATAGCCAGATACTTGGGAAAAGACCCTGACAACAACCTATGGGTGCAATCTGGCAATCAGACCCTCAAAGTTGCACCGAATCAAGTTCGTGATGTTTTCGGCTATGAAGAGTATGTTCCAAGCCGACAGGACATCAAGTCCTTGCAGCAGGCTGAACAAAACTTGAGAGATGATCTTTGGTCTGATGACCGAATTCCTTTGGAAGCGCAACCTCCAGAAGAGCCTGAAGACGGCTTAGATGATGCACCTCCCGAAGCCGCAGCTTTGGAGATGGCAGACCAGGAGTTTCCTTCAATGGACCTGCCATTGGTGATCCAGCCCCAGGAACCTCAGCCTGAGGCCAAAGAGTTGAAGCTTCCGAAGACCAAACCTTCAGGAGCTGTACCACCTGAAGATCCACAAGAACTAATGTCACCATCAACGGTGATCCATATGAAGCAAAAGATTACACAGAACATCTTCGGCAAAGGATCTGCGAGCACAGCGACACCGCTCCCAGCCCCTTTCACACCCAGCCGAAGATCACGACCAGCCAGATCGAGGACTCCAACCTCGGTCAGGAGACTTGAACGTGAGGGCACATTTACAGACCCTTACATGCTTGCATCAGCAGGTCAGGAAGCTCTTGCAGATCAAATCGCACCAGACACACCTGCATTGGAACCATCAGAACAGCATCCAGGTGGTGTAACTGGCGTGCCTAATAGCGGGGCCAGGTGGCTCACACCCCGCAACCCAGTGACACCACCGCTTCAAGGTCTACCAGAGCAAGAGCCAGTTGACCTGACAGGTGAAGATGATGATCTACCTCAACCAGGAGAACCTGATTTGACGAGAGTGGCGCCCGTGACACCGGACGACTTGGGCGATGAACCGTTGCCCACCTTGCCTGCCAAGAGGCCATTTCACGCCTTGAAGACAGACATCACCGCCCGGAAAGCTGGACAAGGTTCTTTTGAACTCTTCGGCTACGAGAGCGCCTTTGCACGACCCCTCAGCATGAAGAATTTGGAATGTTTTGCTCGGCTCGACCTTTGTGTTTCACAACCTCAGCTCACTTTGGCCAGTGGACCGCCTTTGAACTACGTCAAATGGCGAAGGACAGTTGATGCCAACACCAATGAGCTCATCGAAGAGGGCACCATCAAGCCAGAAGATGATGATGACGGCAAGTTCACCTTTGATGGCCCTCGCAATGTCATCACAGAGCTTTGGCACACGCCACCACCTGCACACGACACGTACTACTACCACTACCGTGATGGCACGATCCAGGAGATCGAAGCAGGTTGGGATGGCTCAGAAGAGAACGCCATGCCTTCGACCAAGGCCTACTACAAGGTCTATGTCCAAGAGCTTGCTGCCGCTGTCGAAGACAACTTGAGCAGGCCTAGCGACTCCGAGACGGACGTCGAGGACTACAAGAATGGCAAGCGTTTGACTCGACAAGAGAAGAAGGCCATTGAGAAAGAGCTGAGCTACAGAGACATTTTGTCTCAGAGCGAAGACTACATCCAGGACTTCATCAAAAGCGCCCAGAAAGAAGAGACCAGTTTCATGGAATGGAAGTCGCTCAAGCCAGTTCCTCCAGACGAGACGGAGAAGATCCTAGCTGATCCAGAGTTGAAGAAGCGAGTCATCACCAGCCGTGCCTGCTACAGAGACAAGAACAAGGGCGTACCGCCCCTCAAAGCCAAAACCCGCATCGTGGCACGCGGGAATCAAGATCCAGACCTCCGAGCATTGACACGTCAGGCACCAACACCTTCAAGGATCAGTGAGATGCTCACCTACTTGATCTTCCTTTCAGGCCTTCACCAGAAAGCATTCCACTCCACCTCAAAGTGGAAGATGTGGGCAGGAGACGTTTCCACTGCCTTCCTCCAAGGCTGTCAGGATTTGAGTGAGCGTGCTGGCAAGCTTTACCTCAAGGCTCCACGAGACCCTCTTTTGGTCCGAGCCCGAGTGTTTCAGAGCGATCTCTATGAGATAACAGGAAATGTGTACGGGCTCAGCAACGCCCCATACACATGGGCAAAAGAAGTTTCCAGTCGATTGCTGAAGTTGGGATTCACGATGCACAGTTTCGATCATATGATGTTTCTGTTCCCCGATCCCAACAATCTCCCGGCACCTGCAGCAGTGTTGATTTGCTATGTAGATGATTTTCTGCTGACATTCAACGAGTCATTTCCTTTTGACAAGTTTTTGGGTGCATTCAAGTGGGGAGCGCAGCAGTTTTTGGAACAGGGCAAGCCTTTGATTTTCAAGGGCAAGGAGATTCATTTGGAGCAGACAGGTCAGTTGCAGACGCTTCGCATTGTTCAGCAGGCCTTCATTGAAGGGCTTGAGATGGGCCGCATCAGCAAGAAGGTCAAGAAGACGGACATCCTGTCTCCTGAACATTGGCCTGAGTTCCGCTCCATAAGCGGATGCCTTCAGTGGCTCGCAGGGCAGACACGTTTGGACATCTCCTCGGCAGTCAGCTTGTCGAACAAGGGTCAGGACACGACCTATGGAGATTTGGACTACTTGTACCAAACCCTGCAGCACGTGAAGGATACAGCTTCCTTGGGACTGCGCCTTTTTCCCGTCCCGATCGATGACAGCACGGTCATCATGGCCTACAGCGATGCGAGCTGGGCCAATGCCCAAAATTCGGCCAGCCAACATGGACAGTTGCTTTTTCTTGCACCTGCAACTGTCAGTGAGAAGATCTGCTATGGTGGGCTTGCAGACTGGAAGAGTTCCCGGTCGAAAAGGGTGTGCCGGAGCACACTAGCAGCTGAAGCGGTATCAGCAGACAGTGCAGCTGATCGCCTGGCATTTCTTCAATACACGTTGGGTGAGATCGTTTTTGGCATTCCAGCTCACAGAGTTGGCCCTCGGCTTCGAGCCCTGCTGGCAACGGACTGCAAGAGCCTTTACGACAGCGTGAGCTCGCCGAATCCCACTGTCGAAGACAAGAGGAGCTTGGTGAACATCAGATCGATTCAAGAGGTGGTGAATCGAAACACCATTCACTGGCTTCCTACCAGCCTTCAGATGGCTGATTCTCTCACCAAGGTCTCGAATGACCTGAGGGACAAGCTGCTTGAGTGGTTGCAGCGACCGCTCATACAGTTGAGGTCTGATGGTTCAAAAGAAAGATTCCCCAGTGTGAATTTAGCATGGCATGAACGCTTGGCACCATTGAACCATCAGGTCTAAGCTGTTTACTTCCTGTCGCCAAAGGGCCCGAGCCAATACGCTCATTCGAGCGCCAGACGCAAAAGGTCGCCATGGTTGCATTTGGTTGATCTTTCATAGACCCCACGTTCCACCAGCAAGTGGGTGCTCTAGAAAAACAACATAATCCACATCATGTTGCTTTGCATGATCAGGACGTCAAGTTCTTCTACCCTTTCAGGCCTGACATTCAAGCAGCTTGGCGAAGCTTGATGCCTCAAGGGGCGGAGAATGGACCGAGAAGGCTGCCAGTCAGCCGATGGAGGCTCGGAGGCTGGCGGTCAGCTGGTCGTGGCGACCGTGCTCAGGGAATGCGCGCTTTTGATATGAGGTGTGTAGCATGTTGTAGCATCATGTAGCCCTTTTTGGTGGGTGTTGATTCTTGATGCGTCCGAACGCAGGTTTGCGCAATCGCTCGCTTAGTAGGGAGGAAGTGATCCGGTCTAAACTCGACGCATTGAGCCAGCCAGCTGCGCTGTGCAGCAGGTTGAGCTGCAAGAATGCTTTTGGACTGTAAAAATCCGGTGGCACTTGACATGCTAGTTGAGTACAACAAGAAGGCTCGGACCGTACTCGTAACCAGAACAGAACATCGTGGAAAGAGTTCTTTGGGCTTATTCTATTCCATCAACGGCAGGTTGATTCAATCGCCAGGCGTGCAGTCAAGACCATCAAATCAGGTGGAGCCTGGATGTTCCAACCACACGTATGAGACAAACAGATTAATAACCAGCCAATAGGCATACATTTTGCATAGTTGGAAGATCAAGGCATGACCAGAGTCATTACCAGGCAGCCACTTACATCAGCTTGGGGGAAGCCACACGGTCACACGGGTCGGGCCACATGCGGCATGCAAATAATTACCTGAACCTTGATCTTCCAACTATGCAAAGATTTCTGCCTAACTTAGCTGATTTCATTGCTGGAAGAAGGCAGAAACCTTATGCACAATTGGAAGGTCCAACCATTGAGGTCCACAGTGGCATTGAGTCTTTTTCCTGTCCATCTCATGTCCTCAAGTATCCCACCAGTATCACACCTGAGGTCTTGAAGGGCATCACGTTCAAGATCACCGCCGGGCAATCCGTCGGTTTGGTCGGCCCGTCGGGTGGAGGCGGCCCGACAGAAGTCGCAGGGGCGGGGTGGTTGGTCAAAGCGGCGTCCCAGGGGGGTTCACACCATGGTGCATGGTGTAGGAAAGGGGACGGAAAGAACGCCCTCAAAATGTTTGCCATACGCTGGGAGAACCATGGATCACCATGGACCTTTAATCTGTTTGTTGGGAGTGGTTGAACATGGATCCCCCCACTCAACCAGAACAGGTCGAAACAGGTTAAACCTTTTTCCAGCGAAGCGGCTCAGGAGTCAGGAGTCAGCTTCGCTTATAACGATGTTTCACTGGACCCAGACTGGACCCAACATGACCCAACCGTCACACACCCGGCCGCGGTTGCTGCTGTGCCGGACTGGACGGCCTCATCCCGAGTGGTTTTTTTCTCCCGCGGGGAAGGCAAGAGCACCGTGATGTCATTGCTGCAGCGTTTCTACGATCCAGTGGAGGGCACCGCCACTCGCCCAGCGACTCACGACTCGGCGTGGTTGGATGGTCTCGGTGTGCGGTCCACACCCCCATCCATTGGGACTGGTGTGTTTTCCGCATCCCCCCTGGCACCATGCTTCAATGTATACGTAGGTATACGATATGTCAGTCGCATGGATGGTCCTCGGAAAGGTTCCAGCGGACACGCAGCGTTCTATGCCTTTTTCTCGGGGGCGGGGTACCCGAGGCCTGCTGACTCAGGCCTAGGAGTGTGCAGTAAAATCGCTTTGAGTATCAAGGAGTGCAACATCCGGCACTTCTCGTGCGGGCGGCGCTTTCTCCTCGCACCGGAGACGTCCGGTCCGAGCGGTGAATACATCACACTCAAGCCTGGCCCGACCTGTAACTCGGCCGGTCAAACATTGATATAGCTAGAGTCCATGTCGGCCGGTACCACTGGTTAATATATTTCTCATATAACAGATTCTGAGAACTTTGAAGGGTCTTCAGTCTTTAGCCATTTGCCATTGTTTTCCTGGATTTTCGACCACACAACCAGGTCAACCTTTCTTTAAGATAGTGCAAGAGATTTACCTCGAACTTGAATGACCTATTTGGCACCACCAACCAACCAGAATATGGCCTTTTCATGCCTTTTTCCGAAGACAAAACCGGGTGTTTGGTCCGTGTTCCAGATCCACGTCTACAAACTCCTGTTTTCTGGTCTCTTCGTCTACCACCCGGCGAGACCGACGGGATCCTCCGGGGTCCGGAGGATCCGAACCGTGGTTCCAACACGTGCACCGCTCGAGGTGTACATCGGCAGCGGAAAGATGCCGTTGAGCTCACTGAACATCCGCTGGTGGCGCAAGCAGATTGGCTTCGTGGGGCAGGAGAGTGATGGTATGTGAGGGTGTTGCTGAGGAAAAAAAGGGTGGGTCCAAGAGAGATTGTGATTCCTTGGGTTCCTCCCACCAGCGTGCGAACTACATGGAGCACACCATGTTCCTTCTTAATTTTTTGCTTTGCACACACAGGTCTCCACGACACCATAGTGACCTACGACGGCGCCAGTGACGTCCTGTTGACGTTTGCTTTTTGCCTGCGAAGTCCAGGAGCCGATCCTCTTCAACACGACGGTGAAAAACAACATCATGTGACTGGGGGAAAAGGTGATGACAACGGAGAATGAAACGATGTTCAAATTTGAGTGCGGCTCAGGGGTTGGTTCGAACTGTCATTATAGGAGACTATAGTCTTAGGATCATAGTCACTATGCATTTTTGCCCTGCCTGGCTGGTTTTTATAGATGTCCAAAAAATAGAAAGAATCCAGGTGCATCCATCGTTCCTGAGATCTTCCCACGTACTATGCATCTTTCTTTGCCCTGCTTGGCTGGTTTTTATATAGTCCATATATAGTTAGAAAGAATTCAGGGTGTATCCATGGTTCCTGACATCGTTCTTCCTGTTCGACCAATTTTTGGACCGATCCCCAACCACGCGACCGGGTGAGAGAGATGGCACCGAGCGGCGTCTCGCGTCCGACAGGTATGGTTTGGACGATGACGACAAGCCACCCACGAAGGAGGGCTTTGGAAGACGGGGTTTGGAAGACGGGGAACATACCAGTCGACCGGATTCCAAGAGCAATTGCTTCGATTTTTTTGAAGGCTTCTTTGTTTGAATCAACGGAGGGACCATTGTTGCACTCATGAAGCGTGTTAGAGTGCCAAAAGGGGTCAACCTTTCTGAAAAAAAGGGTCGAACTGAAGGCGATTCTCGATTTCGCTGCAGCTATAGGAGTACATTGAGCAGTGTGAGCAGATGTGCAACTTGGCCTTCCTCCACAAGAACGGCAACCGTGGCCTTGAGACTGAGGTGAGGATTGACATGAAAAAGACGTAGCACTCCTTGAAAACATGGAAGTGGATGGTACCACACTGTTTGGCATTTGGGAAATGGTCATCACGGTCATCCGGCCGACGCCATCCACTTCCATGATGATTTCCAAACTATAGATCAAGCTAGCATAGCTTCTTGTTACTAGTAGCAATGGCCTCCAACCTACTAGCGATGGCCTCCAACCTACTAGCTTCTTGCTACTAGTAGCGCTAGTAGCTTCTTGTTACTAATGCAATTTTGTTGGTGTTTCAACTAGTTCAGTTCATCCCCTTGAGAGTCGCAGAACTCGAATCTCGTGAAGCTTCTCTTGACAAGGGTGCCAGACCACATTCACTGCCGCACAAGCAAGAAGCATGATGTTTGTTGCACAAAAGGTTTGAGTGGTACCTTTGTGTCCGTGGAATGTTTTTGCATGTTTTTGCAAGATATAATTGGTTAAGAAGCAGGGCCCAGTCATACAGCTGCCAAGAGTGCAGCAAGGAGAGGTCAATGACTCATCCTTAAGCTGCATCAATCATGTGATGCTGCAGCTGGCACTCACAGGAACAGCATTGATGTAGCAAGGCAGATGACCTTGCAGCTGTACATTCCTAGATCCTCCCTTCGCCTCCCACGAAACCACTTGTACCCCGATTTGGGAACCCAACGCTGGGGCCTTCACGAGGGCGCTCCGTGGTCGACTCGCCGGCAGGTGGGCCCCCGCGGCAGCCGTTTGTCGGGCGGACAGAAGCAGCGGGTGGCCATTTGCCGTGCTTTGATTCGAAACCCAGCGGTGACTTGGAGCATCCCATCTGGGAGCAGACCTGGAGCCCATCCGGAGCAGAGCCCAGAATTTTCGAGGCCCATCGTTTCTGGCTCTTGTTGGACACGCCAAGAATATGAGGACCCAGGATGGAGCCAGGAGGATGTTTCAGAAGGTTGGACTTGTTAAACTTGAAGATGGTCAAAGTGGATTCCCGAAGCATCCTGTTCCTCAGCACTTCCGTTCCTCATCCGAGGTGATGCTCTTGGATGAGGCCACCAGTGCACTCGACACACAAAGCCCCTCGGTTTGTGCAGGCGGACGTTGAGGGTCGATCGAGGGGGAATACCCAGCAAGACCGAGAAAACAAGAACATGCAGCAATGCACCCAGGAGATGCATCCATGTCAGGGCCCCCTAGGCCCTAAGGCCCTAAGGGGTGGTTTCATGGTGGTTCTGGAGCTGCCGTCCTCCCTTCTTGGAAAGCTGGTCAGCTGAACGCGGGAGGAGTTCAGTTGTTTCGTGAGAAGACGGATCAATATTTTTGGTTGGCGATTGAACGATCACCGGCAAATTTGCAGGCATCCCTCTGCTTCGACGTGACATGTTTCAGTTACTTCACTTCTGAACCCTGAAGACGTCAACCACAATCTATATCCATCAAGCAGCCAAGCATGCATTCCTTCCAAAGCCGCACGGTGAGCCATGGTGTTTTGGCCTGAAGTTCACGCACGAAGGGTGTTTTCACAGGCGGTTCTGCTACTCGTGCAGGATGCCGCAGACACCATCAGACACCCCTTCAGGATGCAAGAAAGACCGAATGAAAGCAAGCAAGAAAGCAATTCAAACAGGAAGATGCAATCATCAAGGCCTGAAAAAAGGAAGACCTCTGATAGACTCGTTCCACACCAGGTTTGAAGGTTCTACGTCTGGCGCCAAGGTGAGGCAATTGTGCAGACCGCGCTGGAGGCGAGCATCAGTCGGGTTCACATGCTGAGCTACATGGACGAAGCGACATGACGAAGCAACCGATGGACTGTACCCGACATGCTTCCACCACTTCGATCGGAAACAGCCAAAAGTCTGAGTATACCTGGACCCGACTTCAAGTATACTCTAGAAAATGGGACGACTGTACCCGCTTTCCGAGGTACTTTGAGGCTCGAAATGATCAGAGAGTCTTTATGGTGGAGTCATTTCCGAGGAATCGCATTTTGTTTGTGTGTTCTGTTTTTAGCCGACAGGCTGCGCTGAAGGGACGTACGTCCTTTGCGATCGCGCATCGGCTCTCCACCATCCAAGGCGCGCCGACCGTGCCGAGATTCCGTGCCGACCGAGATCAACATGGATCGATTCGTTTGGAAAGGAAGCCGTGAGTCACCAGTCGTTCAACTTCCGGCCTGCAGATGCTGCCTGAAGTTTCACAGGTTTCACCCCCCAAAAGTGAGAGAAGTGAGCAAAACAATCATGTACTGCACACTAAATGATTAGATACTTGGACCATCCAAGGGGTGCCCTGTCTGGAAGCCTATAGGTAGTGTGGGGTAGTCCAGCCAGGACACCCCGAAAACGGATGGTCCTGGTATATGGATGTCAATTCTGAAGGGCCAGGCCGGACCGGACCGTTCTACCCACATCGTCTTGGTCCAACTCACCCGTTGTCGCGGCGGAGACCGCTTCGCGCTCGCGGGCGCTCGCGGGCGCTCGGTGAGGCTGCGATGTGATCCTTGTGAATGCTGATGGCCGAGTGGTGGAGAAGGGCAATCATGAGGAACTCATGGCTCTCAAGGGCGTGTATCACAAGTTGCAGATGCAGTCTCAGAAGTGAAGACTCGGAGACTCTTGCAGTCTGGAGTCGGGCAGGTGGAGTCTGCGGTTTTGGTCTGTTTCCATTGCGATGGTTGTTTTTTCCATCGCGAGTTCAGAGGAGAGATCTTGCCACCAGGGAAAGCTTCGGGTGATTTACTTGAGTGACGCCCTGAAATCACATCTATTTCATGCCAAGTGAGGATGTTTTTGGCCGGTATTCATTGAAGCAACACCCGGTGGGCACCACGCGTCAACGTATAAGTTTGACAGTCAGCGAGAATCCTCAGAAATCTCGTAGCAAACCTCCTGCAGCCCAAGACCCCCGCTCACGTTCCAGTGGATTCCAGTCATTAACTGTTAAAATGTTGGGTGAAACTGCGTGGATTCCATTCATTGTGAGGAGGGGCTGGGGCCATCTTGGAAGCACAAGATAGGCAAAGCCTACCATTTTCCTTGCGTTTCTTCCCACAGATTTCTCCAAGCGCTTTGCACAAGCAGCGTGCTTGCTGTGGGCGAGCTGTTCTTCTCAGCCTAGTCACAGGGCCACGGCTCGTGGCGAAGTGATGTGTTGCACTGCACGTTGCGGACGGAAGTGCTGGGTTTTGTCCCCACGGCTTGTTGGGCTAGACCCGGCATCATCCCAGGCGTGAAAAGTGCCGCAGCCGCAGCCGGAGCCGAGCGGAGTTCCGGGGTTCCCCGACGAGCGGTGGTTGGAGTGACCGGGTTCGTTGGAGACGTCGGTGGAAGTCATTTGAACGGCATCCCTCCTCAGATTTGAGGTCATTTGTGGCTCAAGAACCGACTCAAAGTCTGGAGATGCAACTTTAGAACGGGTCACTCAATCCCAACGCTGCTTTTCTTCGACTGCAGCAAGGTATTCAATGCCTAGCTTTCGTCCCCCTTCAAACTCTTCAGGGCTGGCTGCAAATGCTGCGGTGTTCAATCACATGCCTATATAGGGCCTATAGGCATCGAGTGTTCAATAGCCTAGCCAATTGCAAAACTGGACATGATCTTCTTTTTTTCTTTTTCAACGACCTCATTCGCGAAAGGAACTGGCCAAAGGAACTTGCGAAAGAAGGGCCCAAATAGAAAATCTGCAGGTAATAGATCTATAGCCTCAAAGTACCTCGGAAATGGGTGCAAGTACCTGTTTCTATAGGGCCATGTCCCATTTTCTAGAGTACTTTGGAAGCTCCAGGTATTCATTTCGGTTTTGGAACGCTTTGTTCGGAAAACGGAGTTGGTCGGTCCGGAGCTCCTGCCCTCGATGCCACGCCGAACATGCACAGCCCGGGGGTGCCTGGCTGATCCAATGAAATCAGCCTGGGGACTTAGCTTTTCCACTGTGGAACTCCTGATTCCATGCGTTTTCATCGCTATTAGCTTGGAGGCCATCGCCAGTAGGTTGGAACTCCTGGTTCATGCGGTTTCATGTTGCAGGTTCGAACACCTGTTGAAACCTGTTGAGGAGGTGTCGAACACCTAGGACCACCCGGTGAAGCATCTCTTTGGACCTTGGGCCGCGGGGCACATCCGGCTGCCGGAAGATCCCAGAATCGATTGGAAAAAGAACATGTAGACTTAAGGTCCGACTCTGCATGTCGTGAAGAGGCTTTATTTATGTGTATAGCTTTGTTTGGGGGGGGTTAGGAATCAAGAGTATATAGCTCGCTTTTTCTTATTGTTATTGCGTTCTTCTGCTCGGCAAGGGAGAATTCTCGTTGAACACCGCCGTCGACCCCGAAGCGGAACCGCCCGTAACCCAACCGCCGGTCACGGTGGAGAATGGTGAGATATCATGTTTGCGCATGCTGTCTCCGCAGCACTTGCAAAGCGGTCCAAATCAAAAAAACGAGTCGAAGACATTCACACACCCTCCCATACCGTGTCAAAGCCGACTCGAGGAACCTCGGACCTCAACACGGAGGTCGAACGGCGCGAAGCGAAGCGTGCGTGCGATGTTTTCCAGTCACTCTGAAAAGGACTGGTCCACTCTACAAGTCAGTTTGACCTCATGTTTAGTGGGGATGGTCATACAAAAGCAATACTTAACGAGGCAAAAGACGAGGTGTTACTGGGTCAGACTGGACTTGTAGGGCCAGTGCTTACTGTGAGATTCGAAGCTTTTCAGAACATGTAACATGACTTTGATATGAGAATTCATCAACACTTTAATCAACATCAAATCTATAGTGCTGCATCGCTTGCTTTACCGATGCCTTCTACGACAAACCGCTGCCCCCCCCCCAAAAAACACAGACCCACAAAGAGGCAGGAGTCCTGCGCTAAAGGTCATTAAGAGTGTCATTTTAAGATGCTCCCCCCCAAAAAGAACAAACTTGCCAGACTGATTTGCATTTCGCTTCCTCACCACATCGGCTCAAGTAACTGCCTTCACTGCGCGGAACCGCGCGGTGTTTCAGACAGAAAATCGGTGGCCGTTGACCGGTAGGGGCGTGGCGTGGTTCGGAGACCGAGTCGAGGATCGGCTTCGCGGCCCGTCATGGGCGCCATCTTGTCGGAGCCTGTGACGGCCATGGTCATTGAGCATTGCAGTTCCTCTTCATGGTCCGCTGCAGCAGTGACGATGCAAGGCGGGTCCCGCGCGGGCTGATGGCACATCCTCAATGGTTTCCAGAAGGTTTTTGTCAGGAACAGCGACAATCGAAAGAAAATCAACACAATGAACAGTGAACGAAAAAGTCTAAACTTCTAAACAAAAGGAAATGAAACCAAAACAAACAAAACATAAACTTTTATAAGCTATATGATCTATATTGATCTATCATAATATATAATAATGGCTTTCAATTTGAAGGCTGGCGGCGGACTCACGAAGATGCCCATTTGCTGTGCCCCGACGAGGGGAGTCACGGAGGAGTCTTTGCAGTGCTCGATGGCCACGGTGGGAGCAGTGCAGCCTCAGGAGGTGCAAGGCTTCTGGAAGAAGCGCTGAAGAAGGTGGCTTTCAGTGGGACCTTGAGTGGCAAGAGTGAATTGGAAGTGCAAAACATCCTCGAAGAGGCATTCCTTGACACGGATCTGCGCCTGCGCAGCCACCTGGAACCAGAGGATCGCAGTGGCAGTACGGTGGTCGCCTGCATCCTTGTCCCCATGGACACGTCCGACTCCCCGCACCGCTTCACCGTGCAGCTCGCCCATGCGGGCGACAGTCGCGCCGTGCTGAGCCGCCAAGGCACCTTGTTCTGCTCGAAGGATCACAAGCCCAACCGCGAAGACGAGACTCGCCGCATCGAGGCGGCCGGGGGCTGCGTCTCTCAGGGACCACTGGGAGGAGGACCCATGCGAGTGGATGGGGCATTAGCCGTGAGCAGGGCATTGGGTGACTTTCATTTCAAACCGAAGGAATTGGACGCCTCGAAGTGCAAGGTCTCCGCGGTGCCAGAAGTGCAAGTGGTTGAGGGCTGTTCAGCTGGTGATTGGGTGCTTCTGGCCTGCGATGGCATCTTCGATGTCATGGAGAACGAAGAGGTGCGAGCCTTTGTGGAAGAGCACCCGTCCAAATCGTCAGAGGACATCGATGCAGGACAGCTGTGCATTGACCTCCTGAAGCGTTGCCTCGACAAGGGCAGCAAGGACAATTGCACCGCTTGCTTCATCCACTTCGGCAAGGCCCCCGTGAAAGGACGTCCGAGCTCGGAGCTGCTGCAGGGAGGATGGAGAGGAGCCTCTCCGGAGGTGCAGTGCAAGTATGCCGAATTCTTTCGAGATCATGGCTTTGAAGCTCAAGCCTCCGAGATCGTCGTCGGCCGCAGGAGCTCCAAGGGTCCGACGGCAGCTCCGGGCGAGCGCGAGAACGGGACTTCAAGGAGTCTCTCCAGTTTCACGCGGGTACTCCAGGCGGTTCGTTCCACGCGAGCCATTCAATCTGCTTGGAGGGCTCGTAAAGATGCCCGGAGTGCCACCAGTGCCACCAGTGCCTCCAGCACCGAGTGACCTCATGGCCGAAGCGGCCGAAAAGTGACGGATCGAACCTGGGAGCGAACGTCGACACGTGGACCTGGAGCCGACTTTAAGTATACTCATGGCCCTATAAAAGCATGGTAGCTTGATGTACTTGTACCATCTTGTACCCATTTTCCGAGGTGCGAACTGAGGTGGCGAGGACACGTAAGGACACTCGTCACGCAGTGCCGAAGCTCGGAACACGCCCCAGGTGGGCGTTGGAGTGGGCCGATGTGAGGCAGGAGCATGCAACTTTGATCAACTTTGTTTTTTTGGGGGGGAAGTGGTCTTCTTTTCTTCCTGACCTGCATGCTGTATACCGCACAAAGAATGGACATGATTTCAGAACAAAGAAGACCACTTGATCCCTGCATACCGCCAGATTCTGCAAAAAGTGTTTGAAGATGTCGTTCTTCTCCTCAAAAACGTCTCAGTTTCGACGCCACTGGATGTTTTGGTGAAGGGAGGAGGGGGGGGCTCACCAGCTCGGAACAAGACGAAACTCGAGCCGCGTCCGTGGGTCGAGCGGCTCGTCCAGCATGAAGCAGTGAGCAGCACTGATCGAGAGGCAGATTTGAGGGCCACAGGGAGGGTCACCAGATGTCATCAGACTTTAGGTTGGCAGACTTCGCTAATAGCGGCATCCAACCTAGTAGTTTTTTTTGCTACTCGAAGGAATGGCCTCCCAACCCAGTAGCGATGGCCTGAAGCCAAACAGATGGACCACACTGACCACACCAGACCGTCACAGGATGTCACATGACCCGTGTGGGTCACGAGGAAACCAGGCACCACACGGGACACGCCTCGCGGCAGTCAGACCGCGGGACACCGCGGCGATGACATGGTGGGTCTCCGGCCGTGCCTTTGAAGGAGAATCGGTTGGTCGGTCGGTTTGTGAAGGTGAAAGGGAAGGAACATGCAGGAACGTCATGCAGGAACCACCTGACTCAGAGTGGCAGGGAATCAGGAGATGTAGGGCTTTAAGGGATCTGTGGCAGTGATGCTTGGATCAGTGCTTGGATTAGATCAATTGATACCCATGATCTATCCAGAATCCAGATCTGTCCTTGTTCCTGCTGTTTTTCTCCTGCCTCTCTGCGGTGAGGACTGACCTCCAATGACGACCGCTGCCAGTGCGGTGAGGACCGGGATTCTTCCCCAAGACCATTTCGCCGGGGTCGTTGTGGGCCCAAGGCTAAGAAGGCCAAGGGAACGAAGGGTCTTTTCCCAGACACGTCACGACGTGTCTGGGACTGCCAGTCCGGACTGCCTTCAAAACGGCCAGGGGTGGTGCCAGGCGGTGGCGGAGGTCGTGTTTGGGTCTATTTCCTCGTCGTGCCGACCTCCGACCGACGTAAAAACCAGACGCTTCGAGACTCCGATGATGCGCCACCAGACCTCCGCCATCGGGGGGTGGAAGGACACGCAGTGGGGCCCTGCCAGGACCTGGTGGCCTCAACTTCCGCCGGAGACAGCATGGAGGGCCGGTTGGGACCGGGACGTTGGCAGATTCTGACAGCTCTGATGCGACCTGAGCTGGCTGCCCTGTGTGTGTTTTTCCTCTTGGCAGATGACAAACACGATCTCAACTGCAAGAAGGTTCCGCGACCTGTTTGGGGTTTGATCAGGGTTGTTGTGCTTCATGTTGCTTCATGCTTGAAGAAGACACGTACATTCAGCAGTGTCTCACCAAGGAAAGAGCGGCCGAGGTTCAGCAGAAGCACCTGGTGGACAGCCTCAGTTCTTCTTCTCGTTTTGATGGGCGCCTATGGCGCCTACTTTCTTCTTCGAGCTCGGCGCAAGTCCCAGAAGGTTAGGGTGTCGCAGCGATGCCGTAGGAAGCAATAGATAGATGTGGGGAGATGTGAGGAGATGAAGAGAAAACGTCGAAGATCCATTGTGCTGAAAAGCTTCATGCGGTATACCAATAATCGCACCGAAAAAAAAAAAAAACAAGAACAACAGACCAAACAACCCGTATAAGCTAATACTACCTCGGATTTGACCCGAAAAATTGAGTCACTATGAGGTCAGGTCAACCATGGTCAACCATGCACCAACCGTTCTTTTCCCTAGGGCTCCAGTCGTACCTCCTTAGGTTCGATATGACTGGACCCGGAACCCACCCCAGTCCCACCTTAGAAGGTACGACTGGAGCCCTTACCCAGACACGACTATGTCTGGGACTGCCAGTCCGGACTGCCTTCAAAACGGCCAGGGGTGGTGCCAGGGGGGGGGCCAAGAAGGGGCCGGGGGCTCCGACATGGCAGTGCCACACGGGTCGTCGTGTGGGTTCATCCGGATGTGCTCGGACCAACCCGCCGGACAGGTGGACGCGCGGTCAAGGTCGCGCTGCGGTCCGGGCTGCTCCTCAGTCCAGTCCAGCGGATGCGGAGCGGCCGGGACGTGGGAACAGAAGCAGTGCAGCAGGGCCCCCCTGCTTTGGGGTGTTTGAATCATAGCCCCATTATATACCAGCAGCCTCCTGGCCAGGCTGTTTGAAGACCCTAACAGGTGGTTTCTGGGCACCTAGTTGGGCACCTGTCACCACAACAACACCTGTTGGAGGGTCCAGGTAGAGGTAAGGGACGTCCATGAACCGCCCCAAAGCGGGGGAGGCACATCGATGTCCATGGCACTTCTGCGCAGACTTCGTCGTTTCAATGGCGTGTGGATGCGCGCGCCGAGCGTGCTGCAGCGCAGTTCCATGTTGACCATGTTGGGGGTGCTTTGACTCCTCAATGACCTGTGAGTGGATTTGCTATGATTTGCTTCTGGGCGCTGTTTGGTTCCTCCATGACTACCTGGAAACCTGAATGACTCCTGAATTTGAAGTCGTCACAACATGGCCAATCTCTATCAATCTCTTCCAACAGATCGAGGTCATCAAAACTGGATCTTCCAAGACGGCACGAACACCTTTGGTTGCGCGCGCGCGCCGCGCCGGCGCGTCCCGAGGTGTCGATCACGCCCTCTCGACGGGCGCCCTCTCGGACGCGCCCCCACTGCGGAGCAGTTCCCACTGGTCGGCCAAGTATCAATGCGACTCGGAGTTCGTCGAGTTCGTCGGACAGAAGCGAAGGGCGAAAAAAGCCCGGTCGTTTGAGGTCGTTCTTTTGTATATTCACCGATCCGCATACACGTAGAGCCGGAGGTGCCAAGTAAGTGAACGCAATTCTTCGGTTTTTTCCATCCTTTGTCCATCTTGTTGGCCTTACTTAGCCGCTTTTGGATGAACAAGGCATTGCATATGTGGATGATCCAGGCGACCGCCGCGACCGTTCGTCAGGCCAACAGACCCTGACGGAGAGCAGCAGATGGTCTCGGCCCAAGGCCTCCTTCTGCTGCCAGCACCAGGGCTTGGGCTGCGAAGTTTGGAGGAAATTGCGCCGGGGCAAGTGGGGGACTTGGGCACTCGATGCGATAGCGTGAGCGAGGTTTTGGCCTTTTCTGGAGCTCAGAGCTGTGTCCGGCGTGGATATGACGCATTCAGCTTTCTGCCGCCCAACACCCGCCGTGAGGTCGAAGTATGACTGCAACCAGGGCGCCCGGAACTGGTACCGGAGCTGGTCGGGCGAAGCTTGGAGCATCTCCAGTAGGCTTCGAACAAAACGCGACAGGGGCCCTTGCAGCCGTGACGAGCAGACACGCTCGTGGGCATGAGAGTTCAAGACCGGGATCTTCCAACAATATATGTGTGTTTTTTTTTGAAACATCTTGTAAAAAAACTACGCATCATGTCATTCGTAAACCCAGCTAGTTCGGCAGAACTTCTTGCAATCAGATACCGACCTCCAAGGCCAGGCCCCCAGGCCGCGGGAACCCACGAGGCCCGGTGGCAAGCCGCCGCCGACCGGAAGTCCTGGCGATCCTGAGGACCGGAAGGCCTGGTGTTGTCAGAACATGGGCCGTGGATGCATGCTCTACCGATGCGAGGGCTCGGCCACTTGGGCGAATGGATCTTTGGGACAGGTGGGGAACGCTGACTGGGGAAGAGCCACGTGAAAGGTCTGACATGTCTAAATCCCTTATTAAAGGTCCCAAGAAATCTGGAGAAAAGACCAAAAGAACTCTAGGTCTTCACTGGCTTACACGTGGGTACCTTTGACAGGACTCCTGTTGTCGGCATGATCACTGTCTCGCAGCCTGGCGCGAGTCTTTTTTTCGGGTCCAGGTGCTCAGTTTTGGTCTGAGGTGCTACACATCACACGGAACACATGGACCATGGAAGTGAAAAAAACACCTGTTTGTAGAGGAGAAGAGTCATCCGGATGGACCATGCCATCCACGTAAGCATGTTCGTGAGTCGGAGTGTATCCTTCCTTTTTTGGACTTGGAAGGCTTGGAATGCTTCCATCACTTCTCCTCAGGCTTTTGATTGGAGCATGCGGAAGAAAGCCTGGATGCATGGCTGCATGAGACAAGCTTAGCAAGCTTGCCGTACGCCGTAGGTGCTCAATGTGCAAGCAGAGCTTTAGCTGATAGCACTTCACCATTTGGCCCCCAAATGGCAAGGTGTTGCCACAATGCCTACCGTGGCTGCAATTTGGCCGCTGCTGTATCCAAGCCTTGTGACCACTTATGTCTATTGCCTCTTGGCCTCCATGGAAGCCAGGCTGTGGCTTGTCCTGTGGATATGGATTTCTTTATGTTGCATTACCTTCTGCCAGCTCCAATGAGGAAGATAGATTCATTCATTCCATGCAACGCATGCCTGGATCTTCCAACTGTAAAGTTCAAGTATTAAGTAAAGTATTTATTCTCATCGGTCAACCGACGAGTCCGGCAGACACTTGGCGGAAGATCCAGATATGCAAAAGGTCAGTCCCACAGATGCTTGGGGAAGACATGCTTTGAGTCGAAACGAGGAAGGGCGAGTCCGGCACCTGCAAGATGCACATTCATTGGGCAGCAGAAGTGCCTTGGGACCCGTAGGAGTGCCTATGGGTCAGATGTCAGACGCTGAACAGGTATATGGATGGATGATGGATGTCTATCTACAATGTGGATGATCCTATATCGTGATTTGTATATAGCTTTAGCCTCCAGAACCTTCTGACTTCTGTTGCTTGTTAGGTCACTGAGTCAGGGTCACGGCCGGTCTCGTCGCTGCACCCAGGGCCGCGCGCCCGGAGATTGCACCGATGCGCATCAGTGGGTGCTCGCCCATTGCGTGAGCTGCGCAGGCACCAGCCGGCCGAAACATACCACAGAACACGTGGAAAGTGGATGCTCTGATAGAACAGGGAGGAGGTCGTGAAAGCATATGATATGGAGTCTTATATGGATGTTGCCACGATCTCAACCTGTTGTGCGCTTATGCGTCCGCTTTAGTTGTAAGTTGTAGGTGTGCCCAATTTGTGCCAACATTTTCCAGCTGCATCCTGCTACTGGCAGGTTGTGATGCACAAAGTGCTTGCGGGTGAGTGGTGCCTTGTTGTCTTGGCGACCACATGCTGAAGATCGTCCAGATGCCTTTCCATGCCTTTAAACCCCAAAATCTGTCGCCTCCCTCCGAAGAACATATCATTACCTGTCGTTACACGTTTTGACCCCCGCAGAGCCTCCATAAACACGTTGCATATTTTACGCTACATTGGGGTGCTTGACCTGGGGTCAATCTAGACATATCTAGAATCTATACCTGGATTTTGCTTCACAATCGTTTTTGGGCCATGTTGGGGCTTTTCATCTCAACATCCATGGTTTGCTATATGGTCCCCAGTAGGCGCTACTATATATAGTTGGTTTGTATAGTAGGCAGATGTCCGCTGCTTCGGATTCACCGATCCTGGATGATCTGCGGAAACGAAAGGCGACACGCGCCTCAGGGCTTGGCCAAAGTGCCGTTGGACTGCGGTGCCATCAAAAGAAGTCGATTTAACATGATTTAAGACGATAGACAATAGAAGTCATTCTTTTTTGAGATACGAGATACTCGATAGTATAGTTTTGCGATATTATATATATATATATATGTATATATATTCATATATACATATAGATTGTATAAGTTTATGATACATATAGCAATAGTAGCATGCATTTACAAGTCTAAGTTAGTCAGTCATTCTTTGGTTCTACACGCCCTTCTGGGGTCATTTGTGGCAATGTTACAGAGGAATTTGAGGAAATCTTGCGGTGTGTTCCTTCTAAGGATTCTAATAAGCTTAATGTCTTGGCCATTGGATCATTTGGTGGGGCATCTAGATACCGCCTACATTCCAAAACCCTAGGTGTAGCTGAGTTGGAGCCACTGGATAGAAAAGCCTGGCGTGCGTCCTCCAGAGTTTTTATTTTCTCTTTGTCTTGTCTTAGCCACCTCCCTAAACATCAGCCGCTGTGTTATTGGCACCTTTTACCCACTGGGTCAACCATGGGTCAACAATTCGGCTCAAGAGTGTGAACTAGAAAACAAACAAAGGTCTATATAATATATAGAAAGGATTGACAAAAAGGGCTGAGAGCTTTTCACAACTGCCCTGCCATGGTAATCAAGATCGTGTCCATCCTTTACCTTTTGCAGGCCTTTATCCGGCGAGACGGTCGTCCTTGTCAGGCGAGTGCTGCTTTCAAAAAATGGACGAAGACAACTCAGAGAAATTGGAAATCCTTCTAGCCCTAAAAGTGGTGTGTTTGTTCCATTTGGTCCCACTATGTCACAGCTCGGTCCATTTCACTCGTTGATTCATTGCACGAATGAGTGGTAGATGCCACCCAAGCACAGCTGTTGAACGGCTTGGTGTTGCTTGCAGGTTCTCTCAGCTACGGTTCATGAGACAATTGGGAAGAACGCCGAGGAAACCAGAGATGGCACCTCATTCGAAAAGCACATCCACCTTTCAACAAAGGAGCCCAAAACAACAAAGGATCCCGATAAAAAGACAAATCATCACCCATCCCAACAAAGAACCAAAACAGCTCAGCAAAAAAAAAGCACGAAGTAATTAGCAAAAAGCATGCTATAGAACATATAGGACTTCTTTACCTGGACACACAAGCTAGGGGTGCTTCATTAAAACAACACCCCCACCTCTCACCAACCTCTAAGGAGCTATCAATGGAAGCTTTCACCCCTTAGGCGTCGGTTCGCTGTTTCACCTGCTTTTCTTCCGTGTTCCCATGGGCCGGACCCGGTCCGTTTCGCCGGCGACCGCGGCGCTGCTGGCCCTCCTCCTGCGGTGCGGCCAGGAGGGTGGTCGGTCGGAGCGGTGGTGACCGGGTGGCGAGTTGTGGTGTTTGGAGAAAGAGAGGTCAACCCGAACAATCCGAGTGTTCTCGGCCAACGAGCCGACACGTGTCAGGGGTCCGGGCGAACCACTGGCCCGAACCTGGCTTCGGGCCCGGATTTCGGGAAAGGACAAGACCAGCACATGGACCGGCCCTAAGGGGCTTCGCCTCGAAAAGATGTGATTCGGGGTGTCCATTTACCACCCCGACAGTGGGTCCTGGTACAAGGATTTAGTGGTACAGATTTAATTACCGGTTTTTCAATAAAGAGGTTGGTAGAATGTTGTAGAGGTATAAGTTACAAGTATCAAGTATCTAACTTTTTTTTTGGATAGACTTGCAAGAAGTCGTGTCCCTTGTTCCAAGGTACTTGAAGTCGGGTCCAGGTATACATGCCGATGTCGTGGTTGCAAGGGAAAATGTATAGAGTTGAGTTTCCACCACAACATACATTCAACAACTCACTCAACCAGCTTTGTGCTCTCTGACGGCACCTCTGAAGTCTGAGTGCTTGGGTTTGGAAGTTTTCTTCCATGAATTCAGCACTTGTGACACTTGGAATCTGGATGTTTTGCACCAGTATGCACCAGTTATCTCAAGCTCATGAGAGAATGTTTTAAAGCCTCATGTTGACAGAGACTGAGATTTTTTGAAGGCAGAGACTGAGACAGAGACTGAGTTGATCAGGCCTCATGTCCTCATGTACATGTTGCGATTTTCTTGCTTGCGGTTTCTACTGTGCTGGCACATGCTTCAAGGAGCTTTTCGTCGGATTGAGATTCCCAACCCGAAGGCCCGTGGCCATGTTGCGCCTGGCAGCGAGCGAGTTTGCCGGGTTTTCAACATCTTTGAGCGAGTTGTACTGGACATGGCGACGTTTGGACGCTTTCATGCTTCGCCCGGCGAAGCGGAACCGCCCGGCACACGCGGAACAGCGCCGGCGGCACCGGCCTTGGGAGGAAAGTGCGAGCCACCTCGCGCCTGGCTTTGACCTCCGCCAGGCGGAGTTGTGTTGGTGGGGAGGATCATGGTTTTCTTCTCTTCGATGGATGATTGATCTACATCTATAGACCCAGACCCAGACTTCACTTCTGCGCCATTTTTGGTGTCATGTTTCTCGGCGAGACGGAAAACAAAGACATTGTTGTTCGCACATTATGCGGTTTTTGAAGGGTTCACACGGGCTGAAGCAGGAATGCAGATCAGGTGGCTCAACCCAAAGAACTAGATGTCGAATTCCTAAGGGTTAACCTTTGGCTGCCTCCTTTCCAAGCTGCATCACCTTGTGATTCGCAGCTTGGCCTCGCCAGGAATGTGTCCATCGTGAGCGACGTGCACGGAAGCGTCGTACCTTGGCGCGGAACCCGCGGCAGTTCGTCTCCAGACCACGCGGCACGCGGCGGGGGAAAACGTCTCGTGTGGGTGGGTATGGGAGGGCGCAACGAGCGCCTCTTGGATCAATTCCTAATTCAGAGGTTTTTACAATCCATGTCCATGCCCTGGTGTTTTGTTATTGATTAGGATGATTAACTATAATGAGGAGTCTACTTTATGTCCGGTGCACCTGATCGCCTGTGTCGATCCTTAAGCCCTGTGGATTCGGCGATGATGCTGCAAAAAGACGACGAATGAGAGGCGAAGCGACACCAGTGGCAAACCGACACCTGGTTCTTCTAAAGTGAACCTTTTGAGATCCCCCCCTTTGAGGTCACTTGAGGTCAAGCCTCGCAAGGGTCACTTTTTGAAGTAGCTGGTAGGCCTGGTAGGCATTGCTTTGATTGACATCATGGACTTGGCTACTGTTGATGTCCGAGGATGTTTGTTTCCGAGCATTTGGCAACCCTCATCTGAGTGTTCAGTTTGGGGACCATTCTGCAAACGAGTTTTCCACATCAATCCATCAATGGCCATGGTAAAGTGGGGTAAGGGCTCTAAGACTGAAACTTTTGAGATGGACAAGTTGAATGATGGCTTTGACATGTTTTGACCGTCCAAGCAATGAAAAAAGAGAAACAACACACACACACACACAGCTTCAGCCGGGTGAACGTCAGGTGATGTCCAGTTCATCAGGAACCGGTGATTTTCGCGCACCAACCGCGGACCCACCCCTCCTCGCACCTCACGTGTGAGACGCGAAAACCGCGTGGCCGTCGAACACCATCGCCTGGCTCCAGGCAGGCGCTGCTGCCTGTGCAGCCTCCTGTGCACAGGACTTTCCCGACGCCACAGAGCTCATCGAAGAGCTCTTCGAGCGATGGGATAGGCCGTCGGGTGGTGCGGGGCAGGGAGGTGCGAGCTCACATCCAGGAGCGATGTGTAGTAGATTGTAGTCCTTTGGCACAGGATGATCACAATTTTTGGAGAAAGGCCTGTAGTAACCATCATCATGCATCGTTACTGGTAATATACACTATACATAGATATGTTTCATTCCGCGCCCGGGCCGCATTGACAGACAAGGGGTTTGGAAATTTGGGTGTGTCAAAGCCGGATGAATTGTATCACAGGTCGACCACAACACAATCTTGCATTGGCAGCTTTGCCAAAGACGAAGACGAAGTGAGAATCCGATCTATCAATTGAATATGTTTGTCTCCATCTCCTGACCTCACTTGTTCGATTGACCACGGTGTGTGTGGGAGGTTTTCCATCTTTCCATCCAGGCTCCGGCTTCGACCTTGGACCGGTGGCCGGTCACCGCCCACGTCCGGGGGAAACCCACACCTCCGCGGTGAAACCACCGCCAGGGACGGGAGTGGAGAGCTTTCACTCGAAGAGTTTGGACCCCAAGGGGGGTTGATGAGCCGATGGAAGGGATGGAAGGGATGGAAGCGAAGCACACGAGAAACCCAGAGCCAGCTGGATGAGACAGGACCCAGAATGGATACCGGTCCTATCCTCCAATAAGGACCCTAATTGGAAACAAGGAATCAACACCAGCCAGTTTGTTGTGTGTTTGTGCATCCATTTAGCCCTGGGCCGTCATGGCTTCCGGATGTGTGTTTGTTTCGCTGCTTGGGCGTCGCAACAGGTCACTAGACGGTTTCGACTGGCTGTTCACTGGTGATATCAGAGTTGGCCCGTCGATGCACCTGCTACGACATGATATCGCCTTTGCGGTTTAAAAGGCAAGGTAGTTTGGTAGTTCAGCAGATGCGCTTGTGTCGTGAAATTTGAGCACATGCGCGACCTTCAGTCAGTGGTGAACACTTCTGGAACCTGGTGTTTTGAATGGTGAACTCGAACTTGAAGACGGTTGAACCCACTGCACTACCGTCGGGGCATTACTTAGACCGGACGCGCTGAACGCTCTACTGAGAATGTGTGGAACGTGTGGGTCCATTGTTGTAGAACGGAAGGTTTCTTGAGGCTAAGCGGTTTTTGGTCAATAATTTCTAGTGGTACACTCACCCAACATCAGTATAGATACACATGTAGGTACAATACATGTCACCACAACCCGCCAGCCCGCGCCCGCCCGCGCCAGCCCGTATCCAATGTATCCAGGCCGTTCAGAGGCGCGTCCACTTGGCCGCCCGGTTTGGGTCTTTGAACCTACCAAGCGCAGTGCTTGGCATGCGCGGCCGCCTGCGCGGCACCGGCCCAGGTGGCTCGTGGTGGCCATGGCTCACAAGCTGCAAGTGGGAGTTTGCTCCTTGGGGCGAGGGCTCAGAGCCAAGAGTGGAGCATCACCTGGCGAAGTCTTGTTGAAAGAGAAGCCCTTAATGATCTGGCAGCGAGGGACTTCCACCACTGAGACGGTCCACATGGCACTTGCAGCCTTTGAGGAGTTACCACGTGAGACGCAAGACCTCATTCGGAGCTTGCATTGTCCAAAGCCATTGCCACCGGCCATCCGAAGCCTTCCACACTTCAGAGCAGAGGAGTTGCAACTGGCGGCCACCTTGGAGGTGTGTCAAACACGCACGGCCTTGGCGACCCAGGTGGGGGGAGTCCAAAAATGGTTTCCAAAATCCGCTGGGCCGGTGGATGGCGCGAGAAGGGACCTCCCAGATTATACCGCGTTGGTTGGTTCCTGGACCCCCTGGCAAGGTGAATGGACACCCGGAATCACCTTCTTATAGCTGGGGTTATGAATATGCCACCCGGTTCATCGTTGCTGGTTGTGTGGTTTTTTCCCTCTGCCACCCACCCAGACCCAGCCACCAGGCAGCTCTCTTCCATCACGTGGCCCGTGCGAATCACCATTGTCGACCCAACAGCGCCATCCGCGTGAGCCGTGCCGACCCGTGCGCCACCACCGTGCGCTTCGTGGCACTGCGACGCATCGCAGAGGGAGAGGAGGTGGGTGACGGAGAAAAAAAACGGAGTTTGGGGCCTCACAGAGTTTTCTCTTGTTTGGTGAGTATAACAGCCTGTATGAATGAGTTTGTCAGTTGGCCAGGTTTTGAAAAGAAAGGGGGGAAAGGGAGACAAGATTCATGAAACAAAGGGGTCATGGATGGTCATGGTAAGTCGAATCAATTCACTTAGAGATACTGCCATCTATACATTGAAACCACGGTGAAAACTGTACATAATACCCCTACTACCTTAAGTGACAAGCCTAGGGGTCACCATCTACTAGAGCGCTGACACCTAGGAGGGGGGGTTAATTGTTTTCCTGGTGTCGCTTCCCAATAAATGAACGTGTTGGTGTCATTGCTGCTATAAAGTAAGCGCTCTTTCATGGTTTTGTCCCTCCTCATTGGGCCGACAGGAGTTCAACCGTAGAAATGCTCAATGGCCTGTTGAGCACGTATCCTTCATGCATCGCACTTTTTCTCCAAGTGGGTCCAGTCGTACACTCTCGAGCCATTTTTGCGTTGTTTGGCATCCGTCAAACCATGTATTGTGTCCGTGTAATGAAGGTAGAATCTAAACAAGAACCGCGCCGGGCGCTAACAATTATCAAAGATGGACTGGCCTATTATCTCTTGGGTTCTCTTGGCATTTATTCATGGACAGCCGTAAACGGCCCACACGGGTAGCATCCGGCGGGGACCAAGCAACTAGAGACCACAAGGTTCTCAGCACGCCGTCTGAATGGCACCACCTATTGGTCGATGTTGGTCGTTTTTTTCGTGGATGCCTCTCTAAGCCGCCCACAGGTACAACGAACGTGTAAACCGTAGTTCAATCATGGGAGCACATGGAATTTTGGAAGCTGGGGACTAAAGGGAGTGTTCAAAAATACCGCTTGGCACGCCGGGCGCTACTGTATGTTGCTCTCTTTGTGGGCAGTGTGCTGCAGGCTGCACATGCTGCGCATAGGATGCCTCGCTGGGGACCAGTTATGGGATAGGTCAAAGTAACGCTTGTTTGTCATCCATTTGGGCACGTCCTTAACCATGGACGGACTGATAGAGCAGTGTTGGGTTTAGACTAGCTTCGTATGGCTCTGTCTTGGATGCGGCTGAGATGCCAGCAACGGCAAATGATCGCAAAATCGATTGAGTTTGCTCACTCCAAACATCCTTCTCCAGATGGATGATGTATCAACAGATGGTGACATCCTCTCTTTCAGATTCCCTACAAGATCCTACATGTGTGCCCCTGGCCAGGTCACAATCTCCTACCTCCGTGAGGATCTGCTGATTTTGCCATGGACACTTCGGAGGAGACGGTTGAGGGCTTGGGGCTTCGAGTGCTCTTGCGCGCGTTGCAGGGCTGAGGCAAAGGAATGGGAGGACTGGAAAAAAAACACCTCCGAGACTTGGTCGAGAACTTAGATATAGAGAAGGTGAAAGAGTATTTTTTGGTGGTTTTCTGTTGGGGACACTCTCCAGAAGCCGCTCGAAGCTCTATTATATAGGTCGTAGAATTCTCTCTCGCACTTTCTTCCTGGGCAGCTTGAGGCTCCCACTCGTGAAAGCAACCCACATCTCCAAAGAACAACTGGAAGCTTCATGGTGGCGCGACCGCCAACGCCTAGACCTCGGCGTTAGCGCCGAGGCGCGGCTGCGACGCTGGGCCTTGGGTTTGGGTGGCCCGGAACGCTGGCGTCAGCGCGCAGCGCGCTTGCGGCGGCGTGGGTGGCAGGAAGAAGTGCTTTGCTTTCATCGGAGGCTTTGCGAAGAGCTCATCACACTGTGTCAAGGGCTGCAAACTAGAGACGCTCGAACTGAAGTTTCTGAAGCGAAGGTGCATCGTGCTTGGCGCCGGCATGTTTGGCCTCGGCATCATCGTTTGTTGAGCTACAGTGCCCGGGAGGCTTGTGAGATTCATCTCTGGCGTGGTGAGGTCCGGGATCCATACGTCCAAACCAGAGGAACATGCCCACAAACCACATGGAATAGTTCATATGCAGTACATGATTAGTAGCTATGTTTTTGTATGACCCTACTGTAACTATAGCCATTCATTCCATACATGAGGTTGCCCACACGTAAGCTGACTGACAACACCGATTTGCATTTGGCAATGTGTAAAGTGCTTTAAAGCCCCACATGTTTGGGATGGAACATCACCTTCCAGATCCTTTTTGTGCTTTCCGGCTGCCATCATGCAGCCGATCCCCGAACCGATGAAGACAGTGTTGTTGTTTTTTTTGGGGAAGAGCAGGACATAGTTGGATTTCACCATGTAAGTCGAGCACCCACCTAGACTCGCCTGAATCGCATATATCATGTCATGGCAAGAATCACAAGGATGGAACCATATAAGGAACCTAAGAGGCCATCGCTATTAGGTTGGAGGCCATGGCTACTAGTAGCAAGAAACTACTAGTTTGGAGGCCATTCCTTCCTAGTTTCCTATTGTTATTCGTGTGGCCATGTGGCCGACGTTGGCCGCTCTCAGGTGGCGAAGGCCTTGGAAGCAGCGAAGACCTGGCGCTTTTGCGTGCACCAACTGCTGGGGACCACTCGATGCACCGAAGCATTCCTGGCGCAGGAAGTCCAGGGTGCGCTTTGGGAAGCCCAAGGTTTTCACAAAAGGGCCTGGATGCTGTACAAGAAGATTCTGATGGAGGCCGAGCCTTTGTGGAATGCCTGGGATGAAGAAGATTTCTTCGTGCCCTACTTGAAGCAGCACATCGCCCAGTTGTCGCAACGACCCGTTTCGTATGAAATACGGACATCGTCAACGTCTCGTTGAACGAGTTTCAGCAGAACGTCTCGCAGCACGAGAGGCATAGCTGCCGCAGTGATGTGCTTCAACCACCTGAGAACACCTCGAGCGCCAGACAGGATGGAGGCAGAGTGAGGCAGAGTGCCGCGCCAGGCGAACATGTCGTCGGCTCTCACCGAGAGCAGTGAAGTGTGAGGCATCGCTGGAGATGCCGCATGGTCTGGCAGAGATTTTGACCAGAACATCCAAGATTGGTGGTCTTTGATTGACATCATTGGACAAGGGCGGCTTTGATCATAGACTCATCGACGTTTGCTCTGGATTTGATCGTTCGTCCTGGCCGCTGCAGTTTCAAAAGACCTTTTGTGCCGCGGTGATGCCCCCCAGCAGTTGGAACGGCGCCGAAGATCAGACCTCAAACAACATACGCACGCCACTCAGTGAGTGTCTCACTTCATCTCTTCCAAGACGCAAGAGTGTCTTCCCCCAAACTCAATGGCGCAGGTGTTTGGGCCACCCCAAAACCACCGCACCCGTCTGCGCCGTTGGCGAAGCCACCGACCTAAGGATCCCGGTCGGCCACTAGACATGCGTATGTCAAACATTCGACGTACTGACGTATGGCTTCCCCCAGGACCATTTGTCAAACATGTCTAGGGGTTGTATAGGATCCTCTTAGAGAACAAAAGCCATGGCCTTTGGGTTCCGTCCGTCCCGGCTGCTTTTTCGGCTCGTATATCGTATCGTATATACCGCTTCCACCAGCGGCCGCGCCCGAGGTTTCGAGAGGGCTTACAACGGGACGGCGCCTTCCTGAAGTCCCGCGCGAGGTCGGGCGGAGAACTCATCGTCCAGTGAGTGTCGGTGGGCGGAGATCACGGAGAGTCATAGCCTCGTAGCCCCGAACTGATAGACCGACCTTCTGCCGAACTTGGCAAACGACCGGTCCTGTTCATCTCTTAAAGCCAGCCAAGTTCGGCAGACATGTTTGCAGAGTTGGAAGATCCAGGTGTGTCCAGGTCAAGGGGAGTGTCAAGGGGTGTTTCTTCATGAGCCACCCCGATAGGGGGGGTCCTGGCAATGAATTTTGGGTGTTGCTTCATGTTGGTTCATTTGAGATCCAAGCATGCAAATGAGAAACTCCTCCCTTTTGTGGCTCTGGGTCCAAGAGGTGCCAAGGAGATCATTGCCAGGCAGGGCCAATTTCCCTTGAAATGCTTGGATTGGGGGCAGACCAAGCGAGAAGGGTCCCGCCTTGCTCGGCTTGGATTTGTAGCTTCAAAGCCTTTGCCCAGCGGATTAACTGGAAGCTAGCACTCCACCTTTCAGCATATCCCATGTGAAAAAGAGGGAAGGAATAGAACGGAGACATCAGAAGTGTCAGAAAAAGATCAGAAGGATCCGCGGGAAAACGTGGTACAAGTTGTATCCAAATGACTGGCGCTGCTCTCTCTTGGCCTTTCGAGAGGACATCCGTTCGAGACATCTTGCTGGAGCCCGTTGCAGGCACCGGTTCAGCTGGCGTCCGGACACCAGTTCACTGAACGAAAGATGATGACACTGTTTCTTTACACCAAGAGTCACAAAGGGGTGGTGTTTAATCCCCAAGAGAGTGAATAATGAGCACCCCTAACCTCCATGAGCATCGCACCCCTAACCTCCATGGCTGCTGGTCTGTTTCTTTTCTGTTTTTTTTTGCGTTTCTCCTTTGGAGCTCAGGCCCTGACTCTTGGGGACGGGCATGGTGGCGACCAATCACAGCCCACGTGACGCACCCGGTTCAGCTCCAAAACGATCGACGCCAGGGCTCCTCTCACGTACCTGGGAGGGAGCAAGCGCACATGCCGCAGCACTCACAGGTGGGTTTGGGGGTGGGGAAAGTGAACGTGGCCGCTGCTGACTTTGAGCTTCGCGCTTTGAGGGTTTTAGGGCTGTTGGCCTCAGCAGTGAGAGAAAGCGGCAGCGCAGGCGCAGTGTGGGATGCCACGATGCAGCGTGACTTGGTGAAGGCATTGAACGCCTGCGCTTAGATTGAAGTTTTTCGCACATGTGTTTCTTCCCTTCCTGTGTTGCACACATTGAGGGCAAAGGATGGCAGAAGGAATGCGAAAGACCAGTTGAATCAACAAGTTCAATTAACATATATCATTATTTTCATTCATATTGATTCGATATATTAATTGTGATCACAGACCAGAAAGGAACCAGGACTCTCTTCGACTTTGTTCGGCCGCCGTTCTCTCCGTTCGCTCCGGTCGCTCCGAGACTCGCTGCGTCGCGACAGCGCGGCACGGAAGGGAAAGGACCAAGGAAACAGCGCAGTCACAGCGCATGGGGAGGGGTTGAGTCCCTAATTCAGCTGAGTGGATGTGACAGGGGCACCACTTCCTCCGTTCGCTCGGCACCCCGTCTGGTGACTCCTGCGACAGCTCTCTCCTTTACAAAAGACCTATAGAAGTCCAATGACTATATTTTGACCCACTGAAGTAAAGCATATTCCTTTTCGGGTCAGCTAAAGACCATTCTTTTGATAGTCTTTGATTCCCAGAGTATATTTTTTAAGAAGGAATAGAGAGAGGAGTTAGTTGCTGTGCCACAACCCTCTGGCACATGAAACACATGTCACATGCGACTGAAAGCTGTGGCTTTGATCTTAGATTTGGAGCAAGAACGACAAAGAAGCTAAACAATTATCATGGAACAGGTTTAACATGTTTTAGACAAGAGCTGTATCATTACTTTGGAAAACGATTGCATTAAGGACAACAACATTGAAAATACGTTCCGCCGACTTTCGGCCTTCATTGAAAAGAAAAACCACAGCAAGATCCGATCAAAAACGAACCACGACACCATACAGAAAATCCATAGAAAAAGCATGAACAAACAACACAACAAACACACACACACAAAACTCTTTTTGTCACAAAACACGAACAAAACGTGCTCGTTCTTTCTCGCTCTTTCTCGTTCGACTTGAGGCGTGGCCTGTGTGGGCGACGGTTGCCGCGTCGCCTGGCGAGACGGCACACGGCTGGTGCGCTCGGCGCCCACCGCCGTGGGGCAGGCGCGCAGTGCTTGCGCTCCGAGCGAAGTGGCTGGTCGCCGCAGCTCGAGATTGGAGGTGTGTTTTCTTTCATGAACTGAGTAGGACTCCGTAGGACGGTCATTTCCAGTCGCAGTTCTTTGTGTTTGTGTGTGGTTTTCCTTTCTGTTGGTTTGGTCATGTTAGGGCCTGGGTTGGATCGTGGGTGCCGTACGTTGGAAGTTTTCAGGTGCCCCTTTAGTGGCCAGTTTCATGATTTGGTAGATCTCATGTGGCTGTAGTTGGACACGGCTCATACCTTGAGATTCCACAACATCCTCATGTTGAGACATGCTTAGCCGGCAGGCGATTCTCAATGGAGAGGGTCGTTTTGTGCCTTGGCAATCGTGTATATGCCAATGGGTATCCGGGCATCCTAGTACTTTTAAGTTACTAGTAGTAAGGCCAGGAGCCCCGTTCGTAGCGCCCTTGCTCCTAGTAGCGATGCCAGGAGCCCCTAGTAGCGCTTCTTCTTACTAGTATATATATAGCTATTCAGCGCTGCCGGTCTTGGTGTGTTCTTTTCGGTGTTGCTTCTGTCGCGGCCACTGCGCTGGCCGGTGAACACCCATCGATCGTCGTTCAACAACGCGCTGGCGATTGGATGGGGACAACACTTCAGTCAAGTCAATCAAGATGGTCGACCTGGTTCACCGACCAAGGTGGTCATTGTGTTGTTTAATTCCTGTTGTGCTGCCCGTGGAACGGCAACTAAGCCTTAAGCGTACACTGCGTGTGGATACGTGGTGCATTCTCAGTTATTTGTCCAAACTGTTCCAGCTTGGCTCATCATTATTGACAACGAACTATCATCAGCCAGTGGAACATGGGCATACTGGCTTTTGTATATATAGACCCCCAAATGGATAGCATCAAAAATAAAAGTATATCCCCACTAAGAATAATTTGGATATCGTTTCTATCTACTTGGGGACCACTACACTGTCATTTCCAACCTTTGCCCGACCGTACCCCTGGTCTCAATCCATGTGAAGTTCCCCTAAGGATCTGGGAATCAGACCTCATGCAAGAGGAAGCATGAAAGAAGCATGAGCTTGTTTGCGTTGCTTGCTGCTACTCAAGCTAGTACTTACTCTACCCCTCTTAACTGAGACGTTCGCTATACTTCTGCTAGTCAACGGTGACTAGTACGGCATACTACGGTCTAACTTAGTATTCCCCCTTTCTCAAAAAGAATCGCCATAGCCTAGCCCCCCGTTCTCCAAAGACATCCGCTTTCAATCAGCTCCCGGCGCCACACCGGCGCCACACTCGGCGCCCATGCCTTGGTTGCTGCTCTCCGCCACGAGCGGTGACACGGTGCGGCGCTATGAGCCCGTGCCTTTGCAGCTGTCCTCCGCCAATGAGGTGCCACAGATGTGGAACAAACCTCTCACTTTTTCCATGGTTTGTCCGCTTTTTGATGTGGAAAAGTCGTGTCCATAAGGAGCAAGAACGAAGAATACTATATTGTCTATAGAGTCTATAAGGAAAAGGGGTAAAGAATGTTTGACGAGCAAGGAAAGATAATAGGTTTGAAGGGAAACATAGAAGAGAAAGTAAAGGCTGATCAGAGAAGAGAGCAAAGAGCTGGTCAGCCTGTCCAGTCTACCCATATTCTACCCTTTAGTCTTTGGTGGAACTGGTCAGAGTTATAAATAGGGCCCTAAGAGTCTCATGGTAAAAGCGTTCCTTATAGCCGGCAGTGTGGCATGCTACCCCGGAGAGGCTTCCTACCGATGCATGTTGGAAATGAGCTCGGTGCAGACGGTCTATTTGGAAGCTGAGCTCTTGGAAGGAGATGCGAAGGAACACCTTTGCAGCAGCGGTCCGATTTCTTTGCGTGATGAAGACTGGGTGTGTTTGAGCACGACCGAAACGGCCAGCGGCGACCTTTTCAAGTGGCCTTGCTCCATTTGGAGTGTTGGTAGAAGTGACCAATAGCCACGCCAACAAGACTCATGGGTGACCTTTCAGGCGTTCCCACCCCTTGGAAGAAGGATAGACCAAAACCCATTGGTTCCAGTCAGTCTCCCTATGTACATCCCCGCATGTTGAAGGATCATCCACCCTGGTCTAAGGTTAATGTCCTGCATGAGAGATTCTCCTGGCTGGACCTTCTGCTTTGATGTGAAAGAGCGGCCAGATGGCACAGCCATCCTTACACATGTCCGGGTCGTGCGGACTACTTCAGTGACCCAACGGCCTCGTCCCGCAGAAGAGTGCACCCGCGGCCACGCGGCGGACGGGCCACTCCATCGCCTTCCGGAGGTTTTGGATTGCACTGAGCCGGAAGTTGAGGGATCGCAGCACCCTGCACATCGAAATTTGCTTCGACTCTATCATCAACCCACTGAAGAGATGTTAAAAGCTGAATTCTGGGAGGGGCTGGTGCAGCACCAGTTGAAAATTGGTGTTGATCCAATGGCACTGCCCATGCAGTGTCCGACACCAGCAGTGCCAAAGGCACATTTGCAAGAGATGGGCTACTGCCGTTTGCCCATGTCTTTCAGTGGGATGCAGGACATCGTTTTGGCCATGGAGAGATTCCAACACCTGGGTTTTCCTCCTGCAACTCGGTTTGGAAAGCACAGCTTTGGTGATCCCGGGAACGCATGCCCTGAGAATGCCGGGGTGCGTGCCTCAAAGACAGCTTAGAGAGTAGGTCATGGGCCAGGTTTGTCAGGTGCAAGGTCCGGCTGGTTTTCGCACAACACCGGTTGATGTGGATGCAACATCACCGAAATCATCATCAGCGATATCATGGACATGCTTAGTTTACATACAGACCTCCTTCCAGAAACGAAACCGTGCCACTATCTAAAAATTAGCACGACTAGATTTCCGACCCGGTGGCATATACATGTTACATGACCCCTACAGACATGACCTGGCACCACTCTCAATATTTGGGGATCACTTCTCTTTTTGGTGAATTCGCTTCGGGCCTCCGTCCACTTTGCCTCCTTCCTTCTGGTGGGAACCTTCGACCACGTCACTCGTTCGTGGTTGCTCTTCTCGAATTCTGAGAACGGCGCAGAAGGACAAAAAGAAGGGAACCTGATAGTGGATGACCACAACTTGCAGATCTCAATGTTGGACACTTCACTTTTGGACTTGTACCCGCCAGGACTGGCGTTTTCCTTGGGTTCAACACCGGAGCGTGGCCCCCACATGATCCCATGGCACATGTGTGCCAAAGCCACCGATGTGAGGTTTTTGTTTTCATGTTTGATGAGCCCTGGCGGATGCTTCGTGAGCTTTTTCCACTGGTCGCCACCTTGCTGGAGAAGGAGGAGAAAGACGTTCAGGTGAGCCTTTCAGTCCCTATGATGCAAGTGGGCAAAACCCTCCGATTTACATGGACAATCACGGGCCCCCCAAAACCGCATTTTTTTTTGCAGACGAACATGGTTGCAATCACATGTGTCAATTCTCAGGGTCGTTCGTTTGCAACCTCATGGAGCCAATTCTGGGTGCTGTACTGTCACGGCCCAGAAGTGATTGCAAAAGAGCGATGGCCTCCAACCTAATAGCAATGGCCTCCAACCAAAGATCACATTTAAGACTTAAGATAGACTTGGACCATCTTGGACCTCTTCAGTCACTTCATCATTTTACCGATGTTCAACAAGACGACACCAAAAACGCGACCGTTTTTCGTGAGCCATGCGTTCACACCGAGGTCTTCGCTTGGGCTCTTCGCCCAAGTTCCGCGGACGACGCCGAACGAGACGGCAGAGACGCCTTCGCTGGAGACGCCTTCGGCCAGGCGCATCGCGACAAGAGCTATCGGGAGTGTCATACGGCAGAGGGACGCTTGGGGATGCTCACCACTTGGAGCCTTTGGCTGAAGACCGCCCGACGCGGCCCTTTTCGCGGCCCAACAAAAAGAACCCGAAAAGGTGTTTGACCCAAAAGCGCGGAAATAACATGCGAAACACGGATTGGATTCCTTGCTATAATGCAAATTTTAAAAGCTTGCTTCGCGTCTGGGACTTCTCTATGCGTTCATACTTGTATACAGCTTTAAGCTTCTGAAAAAGGGATTGGACTTGTCAAAGCATTGTGTTTGTTCTTTTTCCGTTGGCCTCATTTGTTTGTGGGTGGCCCCTGCATGATGGGCTTTGTTGCGCACCCATGTTTTACAACATATTCTGTTGTGTGGCGGGCTGGACCTGAGCACAAATTTCTTGCTCTGCACTCTCCTTTGCGCTTTAGCAGTCTTGTGCTGAGCGTGTGGATTTGTGCTGAGAGAAGACAGGGCAGGAATTAAATATAACGATATTAACGTTGGACTAGTCGTTGGGCTGGAAGGCACCTGCAAAAAAGCCATAGTCAAGGCAACCCGTTCAAGAGGTTTGAAGTGAATGAACGTCCACAATGCTGTTGCAAGAATGCAGCAGTGACTTTAACAAGGGGTGCCGGTGCAGCTTCTATGGTTTACCTGAACGCCAGGGATCCTCAGTTTTAATCAGAGCATTCTCCACTTCACCTGGTTCCTTTTCCATTCAGTTTGCTAAACATGTGTAGGGCTGCGCATCTTGTTTCAGCCCACACATGGCCCTATCGTCGCCCTAGTTCTCCGCATGGTCCCTTGCCTCCTCGCGCGTCCGGTCCTACCGGGGAGCCGAGACCCGCGCGTCGTTTCGAGGATCCCCTTGGTGCCGGTCACGGAAGAGGACGGTTGTATGCATGTGGTGCCGTCCAACGGAGACGAAGCGGAGGAGCTGCCCTGCCGGGCTGGAGGAGAAGCGTTGATGTGCCAAGCAGGAGAGGTGCCTGGGTAGATGACATCCACTTGAAAGACAGAAGCACAAAAGGGTGAATGAAAGTGGTAGACTTCAGATCTCCGAAGTAGGCACAACCTAATTCTATGGGTCTCATAAGGCAATTAAGAAAGAACAAAGACACACACACACATGATGGTATAAAATACATATACCCTATAGAGCTATATATATATATACCGGTATACCTTTTTCGGGTCACCTAAAGACTATTCGTTTGATAGTCTTTGACTCCCAGGGTATATATTAGCCAAATAGGGCTGTACCTAAACTCCGACTCAGGATCCCACGGAAGTGGTGAACCCAGGCCCTGCCACTCTAGAGGACCGGGCTTCTAGGATCCCATGCCATCCACTTCCCCGACTCGTCGCGCGTGGGACTTTTGTCTCGTTTTTCCGGTTGGCTTTTCGAGGTGCTGATTTGGAAGGTGCCTCGGCATAAGAAACCTTCGTTCGGTGTTTGGCCAAGCTTAAAACTGGAGAGGACTATAAGTAAAGCTTGCCCCACAAATAATAGGTTCCAAGGAGCTTGGAAGGTTTCCCGTTTTCTTGATCTTTCTGGCTCCTCTTCCTTTCTCGAAGGCAGAAGGGATGGCAAGTCCTTCTGCTCGTCCCTTGTTCCGAAGACCCGAGGCCAACCTCATCCATTGGGGCGCCCGCGCCACGGCCTTCGTGACGGAGGAGGTGCACCCGATCCGCGCGAGGCTTGAGGCACACCCGGATCGGTATCCGGTAAGCCATACATGGAGTGTTTGGGTTTGAAGATGTTTGAAGAAAGGAAGACAAAGGTGGGTCAAGGATAGTCAAGGGTAACAAGAAGAAATGTGTTTTTTTCCCGTGTGATTCCGTATGATGATCGTCTTCAAACAGTGTGTAGGGTATGTGCTAGTAAGCCAGGAAACAGCAACAGTTGGTAAACGATTATCGTGTTTTTTTTCCAGATAGGCCTGCAACCTGACCATCCTCGCCCATCCTGATCATCCACAAGGCCCTAATCATGGGAGATAATCAGAATCAAAGTGACCTAACTGTCAAACACACTTCCTGAAGAAGCTGGGTAAATGTAATGCAGCATGGTTGTGTTCCTGTTGTTTACACATCATCCGAATCTATCCATATCTAAAATCAGTGTCCTAATATATTGTTGTTTTCCTTCCTTCCTTCCTTCATTCCTTCCGCAGGTCCCAGCCTTTGGGGCGCTCGCCACGGTACCGGCCACCGAGCTGCCCCGGGACGTGGGGACACGGCTCAGGCGCCGGTGTCCAGCGTGCCGCGCTCACCGCGTGCGGCCGCGCCATCCCCGTTTGGAGAGAGGGCCCATCTAAAATAAGAGATAGGGGTCCACAGAAACCAGCCCCAGACACGATCTGTTTGGGACTGCCATGTCGGACTGCCGCCCCAGACAGACCCCCAGTCAACCACCCCTGGCCTGATCGGCAGTCCCCATGGAGTGTCTGGGACCTTTCTTGGGATTGTGCCAGATCACACTCTCCATCCGCTTGATGAATGTACTCAGGCTGCTGCAGACTAATCAGACTAATATACGGATCTGACAATTGACACATGTGGATTGAACATGATTGAACCATTTTCCTTTACAACCCGGCAGTTTTCAGGGCCCATGTTAATCTGCAGGAGGGTTATTGTAAAGTCAGAAACAATAGGCTTAGGCACCTTCCCCCCAGATGATTCATGGTGAGGGCTAGGAGGGGCTTCATCTTCCCAGTGATTATTTATAGACCTCTAAAATTTTCACTGAGCAGTTTGAAGGCTTGGTGGGGGGGCAAGATACCAAGTACTGCAGTTCGTATCAAACTTCCAATTTGACATACTTTGACAATCTTTGACAGCATGTGCCACTCAGGCTAGATCTGTTTGGGATGCTTAGGCACCTCAAAAAGCCTCAAACGACATCAATCCGAAAAACATTGTCAAATGCCTCTTGGGTCTTTAGTGAGCAGATGTTTCTCGTTGAACATTCGAGTGTAGCTTGTGGCACAGAGTGCCCAGAATCCTCAAACTGGGTCAACGCTGGTTCCAGTACCTTTCCTGCTGTTCTTCAGTCACACCAGAGGCAGGGTTGACCTGGGCATGTCTCTTAAAATCCGGTCAAGTCCACCTGTTGGCATTGCCCAGTATTGGCTTTAACGAATGAAAATCATCTCAAGAAACAAAGCACAGACAAAAGTAACTACCAGGACCACGGAGGGGGTTGTTATTGGACGGAAAATGCATAGTCAAGGGTGTTCATAAACCACCCTTTCCGTGGCTTCCGTGGTCCTTATATGGTCTTTAGAGTTGTAGCTGCATCCGATTTGCCAGTTCCACAAAACTGAACAGTTCGTGAACAACTCGCTTGGGGGGGAGGCGTCGAAGGCGTTCAGTTCAGGCGCCCGAACCGTTCGGTTCGTTGGCGGTTCGGCTTTGGAGCATCGGAGCGGCCTTCTGGGTGTGTCTGAGCGACCTGGACGACCGACCTTCGACTCCCCCTTCTCAGTGGGGGGATTCCCCCATTGAAAGGCACACCCAAACAGTGCCAGGGTTGCTTCGCGTAGTTTCGACCACACCGTTGCTTGCACACCCTCCTGTCAGCAGCACGCAGTGGCCAGGGTCATCTTGAAATCGCTCTTGCAGTACAAGTCCTGGTATCCCGATTTTCGCGGCTTCGACTTCCTGGCTGGAGAGAAAAAGACGCGAACGCGAACGCAGTGCTCAGATGCAGACACGGTGGTCATAGCGAGACCGGTGGCTCCTTCTTCAGACAGGGAGTCATCCTTTTCCGGAGTGCCAGTAATTTTTGGCACACTGAACGTTCCGTGAACAGATCATGGATCCTCTTCCGCGGCGCGCGCACCTCACCCCGCCTCACCTCGCCTCTTTTTGCGCAAAGCATTTGGACCAAGGTGTACAACCTGTTCTCTCGGCAGCTGGCTGTTTTCGTGCCCAACTTTTGGGTCACTCGGCGCGGACCTGCGGTGTACAGCCCGGCCCTGCCTCGCGAACCGCGGAAACCTCCCCCCGGAATCGAACGGAATCGGGAGCTTCGATCGGTTCGGTGCGACGGTGCAGTCCACCGGTCAACGGAGCGTCGGACGGCGACTGGAGCCCAGTCGGGTGCACCGTGACGTGGAAGAAGGAAGTCTATATAGGTCGCACCGCGCCGGGGCCATTCATGCCGCCCTATTTCAGTCCTTCACGGGCGGGCATGGCCCAAACACGTAAGATGGCATGGCCCGGAAGAGGGCCCAGTTGTCGGGACGACAACTGGACGTCGTCGGATGCTGACGGCTCCACACAGGTGGACGAGGAGGTGGGAAATCCTTCACAACATTCGTTTTGCGAAGCGCACCTATACCAGGACCCCTCCTAAGGGGTGGATCATGGACACCCCGAATCACCCCGAAAGGGGCTATTAGACACCCCTGGTCCGGGTGTCCTGGTATAGCTGCTTCTTCCTTTCGTGACTGAATACTATGGATCATGGACCCATGGACCCATGGACCCATGACCGGTGGATGGTGGCAAACCCGTTGGGTTTGGTTTGGTCGCCTTAGAAGAAGCGAGTGGGAGCCGACCCATCGGACCGTCCGAGGACGACACGGACCGACGGACGATGGACGTGAGTTCGAAAACGACTTGAAAGCCTTCGTGTGTTGGGGGTCATTCGGAGTACTTCCCTTAGGACCCCGAGAACTGCATCTTCCCGTTTTGGAGCATTTTCCGAATTGCAACATAAGTAGACTCTTGATTCAGATTGAAACACCTCTTCATATGACATGAATGGTTTATGATGGTTTCATTCATCAAGAGTCTAATCCATGCTGCGAAAGGGCATGTCATGTCTTCGCCTGCCTCTCGTCACACATCGCCTATCTCGACCTGAACCGGTCGAGACCTCGACGAACCGCTCGCTCCGCGGTCTGTGGTCGGTCCCGGATCCGAGGACTCGACAAAGATCGAAGCGGATATTTTCCTGCAGCGCTCGTTTTGGCTGCGCAATCTCACCATCAGCCCAGCAGCCGTCGCTCGGGTACTTCCAAGCACCGGGACAGGTCCAGAAAGGAGGAACACCGTATACGGCCCAAGTTGGGGGCCCATACATTCCTCGTTTTTGTTGGATGAATTCATGTTGGATGTACTGTATGCGTTTGGTCCTAGAAGGTGTGCAACCAGGCAAGCGAAGGCATAGGACCGGACTTAGATTCAGATTGTTGAGCCACTTTGTAACCCCGTCCGTTCCTAGAACAGCAACGTTTTTTTTGAAGTGTTGCATTTGCCTGAAGTGCAGGGACACTGGGTGCCGCTTCCAGGGTAGACCATTTTTTCAACTCGCTGCGCTGCGTGCTCAATGATTTTTGCCATGTTTGGTGCCACGCTGCGTTTTGGTTCTAACTTCAACCTATGTATAGCGATTGTAAGTTGCTGTTCATTTCTTTCTCTCGATTGTTTCTCGGATCGCCGCGCTGGCCGTTGGTTCGCCGGTGTCGGCACGTGGATGCCTCGCCCCCCGGCCCACCTGAACTGCAGTATCGACCGGACCTATCGTGCACAAGGAACAAGGAAAACGAGGGTCTTTCCAGGCAAAATAAAGGACAAAAGACAACACACTAAAGGGGTCTTTCCAGACCTGTCAACTAGAGAAAGTCAACAGGGACAACTCGGTTCAGACTTCGGTCCGGTGCATCTGTTTGTCCCACTTGCCTCACAGGGACTCACCGAACAACGATCCCAGGCTTCACTGCTCACGGCGCTCGCTCCACCGGGCTTGAACTTCACACGGGTCTTCATCAGCGATGCGAAGGCGCTTTGGCCGTCGGCGCCGGGACCACCGAGTTTTCGGAGCGTGGCCGGTGTAGGCGGACCGTCGATGCGGAGGGTGCGGTGTTTGGAGGAGCCGGCAACTGATGGTTTCGGCGACGGATGGTTTCGGTGACCGGACTTCGCTTGAGGGTAAACCTGGTCTTTTGGTCAGGTCAGCACCGTGTTTGGAGGACGGTCCGGCATGAGATCAGATGTGGGTAGGACCCTTGAAACTCTTTCATGTCGTGAAGAAAGAGCAAAGATTGACTCAACACAGATCACACATGATCACAATTGATCACACATGAAGAAACCTCACCCAGTTGGGTTTGCCTGGTCTTGTTGGCGTTGCTCATATTTAACCCCCGGTGGTATTTGGCGGATGGCCCTCCGGTCCACCGACTGGCCGTGGCCAGGTGTCGTGGAACAATCTCATGGCCCTCGACTCCAGTCCCATCGTCGTGGAGATCGCCGCTGGGTCGAAGTCAGGTCTGGCGCATCCGGCGGCCAGAGTGTATCTTTCCCGATCGGGATCCGCTTTCGTACCGAACCTCAGGTTCGGTACGACTGGACCCTCCCCAGGCACCTACAGAACAGTGCCGAACCCATCACCGTACCTGAGGTTCGGTACGACTGGATCCCTAGGGAGAAAACACCACCAGGGCAAGGTGAACCAAGTGTCCACATCAAGTGAGTCGGTCTCGTGGCGATGTAGTTCGACCTGCTCTCTACTTGTAGGTGAGAACCCATTTTACCCATCATGTTCAATTCACATTCGTAAAACCCCCCCTCCACCCCTATGAAAAAAAAAACAAATCTGGCTTTTTTGGAGGTCAAACATCTCAATTTCAATAGAACACCTCCAGGCCATTTGGCAGAGGGGATGTGGAATGTAGACTAAAAGTAATTCAAACTCAATTTCCCCAATTGAATTCCAACTGCAGGGGGTTTATTATTGTAGGTTAAGATCCCACAAAAGAAGAAAAATAAAGAAGAAGAAGAAAGGATAAATTAAAAGCAAAAAAAGGCACATTGGGATCTGAGAGAAACAACTGATTTTTATTGTCTCAGGTTTATAGTTGACTGGCAATTTGTTTAAATCCATTTTGGGATCTGGATTAAAAGTAGTATTGCAACATCCTGGCAGGCCAAAAACCAGTTTATTGTTGACGCCTGGTTTACTCATGTGAATTCTACATTACACTCCATGTGTGGGATTCACATATATACATATATATGCCTACATTGACCACCAAAACCACCCCAACTGATTGGCATATATGGCATACATGGAGCGTCTGGGTTAAATGTAAATGCATGTAAATACCATATGGTTTTGAGTCAACACCAGCCCCAAAATCCTGGTCGATTCTGTCCATGTTCGGAAAATCCCGGGTCCTCTGGTTCTGACCCAGAGCCATAAATCGAGTCATGAGTCATAAGCCGATGTTATCGCCCTGTTCCTCGCCACTGCTTCGAGTGAAGTGAGCGCTCTTCACCGAACCCAGGACCGAATCTCAGCAGAAGCCAGTGAGCTACCTGCTGGTGGGGAAGAAGAGGACAGGGCTGCAAAGAAATGTTTTCAGAGCTTCGATTTTCGCATGTCCCCAACGATGTCTTTGACATGGGAGTCGATATAGACCACCGACATGGGAGATTGTGCCACCAACCAACTGAAACCACGAAACCACTGCATCTTGATTGAGGCGGTGCACGCAGTAAGACAACTTGTCCAAGGAAACACCGCTGGAAGAGACTGGGTGAAACACAGCGAACGAAAACACTGGAGATGGACAGCTTGAGCTGCAGCACTTGCTGAGAATCTGATGCTTGTACACAAAAACACATCCACACTCAACAAATCCCACCAGCTGAATCCACATCAAAGAACTTGGGGAAACCTGGAGTACTTTCTCCATGGACTCTCTTGCGTTGCTCACCCATCCCAACGTTTTCACTTGGGTGACCCACCGCTCGAACCGCTCGAACCGCTCGTCGCGAAGCTCGAGATCGCTCAACGGTGGCTACGGGTGATGTGGGCAGGTGGAAGACTTGATCCGTCAATGGCTGGATGTGTGTGGTGGTGTCCAGCCAGATCCATTTACAGGCGATGGTGTGGCGCATGTGATGGGGTGGAGCAGGGGTGGAGCAGCAGTGTGTTCTTTTTGGGGGGGGACGCAAAAGCGCTACAAGTGGGGTGCGCGGACGGAAGAGCCAGGAGTGCGGGACGCTCCATGTCTAGAGTGCAATCACTATCACTAGCTGATTGCTCAGGAGGGAGCCATGAAACAGGGGAGGCGTTCAGAGCGACCACGGGAGTCTCCAAGCCCTTGCGAGATAAGGTCCCAACCTACTAGCGATAGCCTCCAACCTACTAGCGATTCGCTGACCCACACTAGTCCACACACTCCACGTCATATTGTCAACCACCCCAATGTTTTTGAAACGGTCAGGCCGTAAATGCGGCGCTGACGGCCGCCGCCTAACGCGTCAGGCCGTTATCCGCTCTTGGATGCAGCCACCTTCCGCGTGCACCACGTGGACCTCACCATCACGAGCCCGGCCCGGTATGGCTTCCTGTCCGTGTCCTTGCGAGGCTGAACGGCGCCGAACGGAACCGGGGGGGACGGGGGAGACCACAGGGATCGCTGTTGGAAGCCTGGCGGCCTGGCGCTGCGTTTAGATAGTTTGTACACCTGGACCCGACTTTAAGGACGACTCTAGAAAATGGGACATGGCCATGGCCCCATAGAAACGGGTAGATCTGCACCCACTTTCCGAGGTACTTGACGAGGCTCCAGGCATATGTATTGCAGTAATATAGTAAAATTCCCACGTTTGGGGTCAGTGACGATGTTTTTTCCCAGACGCTCCATGTATGCCATACATGCCGATCAGTTGGGGTGGTTTTATTGGGGGTCAATGTAAGCATATATATATATATAGCATACATGGAGTGCTTGGGTAAGTAACATTCTTACAAACGGACTAGGCGCCCCACTACAAAGAGGAGTCCTTTGGGGAAAGAAGATCTTTTTCGAAACTCACTGCCTTGGCCACGAGAAACACCTGCTGGTAGCTCTTGATGTACTTTGCAGCCACATCGCCATGGAAATGGACATGCGTTCGGGCGAACTGCGTTCTCGCTCTTGCGCTGTTCTCCCTTCACCTCCAGGGCTGGAGGTGAAAGCCGTGAACAAGGATGGCCAACAGCAAGACTTGTCACCTGGCCTTCATGGAGCGCTCGCTGCCCGCCTTTCCGGGGTCTCCCTCCGACCGCTTCACGGCTGGCGCCCGAGGCTGCACATGCTGGAACGGTCCCAGGACTGGGAGAACAACGCCATTACGATGTCGCGCTTGGTGGAGTGTAGCCAGGTGTGGTGCTGCTGGGCTGTAGCCAGAGTTGCCCGCTTCGGCGCGGTGTTGGTTACATGGTTGGTGCTTCAAGAGTAGACTCCCCGAATTCGGCGCACAAGGCACAATGTCATGAGGAGGTTTTTCAGGGATGAAGAGCCGCGAAGCAACCAGGAGGCTTTCTGAAATCAACCACCGCCTTGCTGGTCAGGCATCAGCCCGCTACCTGAAATCTGGCAACTTGACTCGCATCGGGTGTTCTTTGCTAGTTGAATACCTTCCTTTTAACCCAATTGCGATGGCCTCCAACCTACTAGCGATGGCCCCCAACCAACCTAATAGCCATGTCCTCCAACCTTCACTAGCAATGGAAGTGAGGCTGCATTGCCTGGAAAGGAGTCAGCACTTGGAAAAGAAGTGAGCACGTGGAGATTCCAATCAGAAACTGCCCGAGACAAGAAGTTTTGTGCCCAAATGAGATCAAAGCTTCTTTGCTCCAAGACGTCTAGATATTTACACCCTGGAAGATCAACAGTTTAACATGGAACCTGAAAATCACCGGTTTGTGGAGGAAGCTAGTCTTCCATGTTCATCTTCAGGTGTTGCATATCATGCCTGCACATCCTGCCTTCTGCCGTACCTCCCTCCCCCTACGTGCTGCACGTGGAAACCAACCCTTCGCCCGAGGAGTAGGGCTGCAAGATGGACACTTCAGCGATTACTTGCCGCTTGGACCGCCGACCGCCCCACCCCTTCGCCGCCGCGGAAGACGCCGGAAGACGCGGGAAGACAGACGTGGACCCGCCGGGGCAGCGGCACCGTGGGTCTTCAGGGCACTGCACGCGCTTCCGCGACGGCGTCCGGAAGGGCTCCTCGAACCGGGCCAAGGTGGACCATCCAAAACTGAATTTGCACGCCGAATCGCTGCTTGCCAGTTGCAATCAGGTTGGAACCCACACCTCTTAGCCTGCTTTTGCAGCAAGTGAAGAATGCGTCTTGTTTGCAGAGAGAGAGAGAGAGTTGCAAGCTTATCTTTTAGCCGTTTCCTTGTTTTAGCCAAGATGTTAGCCTCAGATTCTGCCAGGGTCAAAGGGTCTGGTTCCCCCAAAGCTGTGAGTGCATAGTATACTAGATCTTGTGTGGGATGTGTCAGTGATCTTCACCAATCCTCGTCCATTCAGACGAAGGGTTTCCAACCTGGTCGCCGAAAGGTGTCAGATATGCGGCAGATCTTCAAGCAGCGCTATACTGTTTCGCTTCTCAGCCTAAGCTGCAGAGCCATGTCGGACTTTGTGTTCCTTTCAGCATATCGCTGTATTGACCATCATACTAATATAGTAATATTTGTGTTTTTCATTTTTTATCTAAACGTGACCTGTGTTCTCCTAAAGTTGCAGAACACAGGGATTTCAACTCTTTGCAAGTTCTTCTCCATCCCATCGCATAAGACACATAGACCACATAATGACACTATGGATGTGATTCTTCCACTTGCTTGAGAAGAGCTACCTGGTATACGATCTACAACCTTTTACTCTTTCCTACCCATGGCACAAACAGCTCACCCCGCTCTCCACCTTCCAGCTTCTCAGGGTACCCAGTGGTCGCTTGTTGCTTTTGGGCCCCTTGGCCGGAGAGCAGACCGAAGACCTCCCAGACGTCCCAGCGGATCCACGGCTCTGTCCCTTCGACGTTCCCACGCCCGAATGGCACCTCGGCAGCACCGGGGTGGCCGGGCGTGTTCGGCGCGCGTGGATTGGTTTCAATGGACCATTCCCATGAAGAAAAGCATGAAAACACGAACGGTACCGCCTTCGGGCTATGCATGCTGATCGTTCATGATCGCACTATACAGTCGTTTCTTCGAACATATGCTGTTCATTCTCGGCTTCCCAATCGGATCACGCCGCTTGCTCATACCGAGGCGAATCCAAATGGCCAGCCGCGATCAATTCGATTGGATCTTTTCGGCATGGACCCTTGAAGCAGTTGGTGAAGTGGTGGGCACAGCAAAACGCGCAAGACCTGACGGAAAGATCAGCCTGAATAGGGGTATTTCTTCCGAAAAGGACCAGCAAAAAAAACAAAAAAAAGGAGGTCTAAGTCTAAGGGTTTCTGCAGATGTCGAATAGCATCGATTAGAAGACACATGAGCAGTCGAACGATTATATGATCAATGATTATTATGATTGTTCTATGTGCACTCTGACATAAGGAACTATGGGCACGAACCAGATGGAATTAGATATGATCGATTGCCCAGAGAGAACCCACTCGACTCTGGTCAACTTCCAGCAATCAACTTCCGCCGAGGATGAGTCAGCCGACGGCAAAGCATCGACCTTGGAGTTTGTGGAGGGATGAGTCTGAAGTGGAAAACGGAACATGGAACATGACGTTACCCAGGTGCTGGACCTGAAGGAGAAAGACACACATTGGACAAATATAATGGCCTCCAACCTAGAAGCAATGGCCTCCAACATGACATGACCCAAAGACGAAGGTAGTTCATAGGTAGTAAATAGATGGTTCAGGTGCTTTGTTTTAGTGCAAACTGAGACTCCAGATGACTCCGGGTAGTTGACAGTTGTATCATCTTCGCCCCATGTTGTACTCCTCGGCGCCACGCCATGAGGACGGTTGCAGTGGCAAGCATGGGTGTTGGAATGGCAGTGGCTCGTCCGCGAACTGAAAAAGAAGAACAGACGACTTCGGCCGATTTCGGCCGATTTCGGCCGTGATAGGCCGAAAGATGTAGTCTCTAAACCTGGCTCCTTGGCTGTTGGTTTTTCCCTTCCATCTATGAAACCAGCCAAGTCAAGCAGAAGATTTGCAGGAAGATGCATGGTATTTCTCGTCCAAGTGTTTTGCCTCACCATTTCGCTAGTCTCAGGTGGGAGTGTTTTTCCTACTTTGCCTGGCCAGCAACTGCTTTGTTACAGTGAGGCGGGGGACCTTGTTGCAGCTTTGAAGGTTTCGTTTCCGGGAAATTCGTTGCGTGGTGCGGGCAGGCCTAGACCTTGGTTTCGAAGCATCCTGGCAGAGAAAGGTCTGGCACTGGACATGTCTGAGCCGTCCAATTTCGCCAACAAAACAAGAGAACACATCTCTTTGTAACAATCTCATGAAGAAAACGATGGAGAAAGAGAGAGAGAGAGAGAGAGATCTCTCTTTGTGATGTGATAAGTTTGCTTGAGACCTTTTTGTCCGAGTCGTTTTCCGGCCTTACGAGTTCAAAACCGCATGTTCGTGATTGGACCGACCGAGGATGTTTCATCAAGTTGACCACTCGCCAACTCCTACCCTGGTTGTGAGACCGACCGGAGACCGGTCCGTTGTGACCTGGCGGGTCGTGACTGGTGATCGACTGGGGGGTGCCAAAAGGAATGGTCTCGATAGATCACAAAGGAAGGTCGAGAGAAGTGAGAAGAGGATCAATCAGATGCATGTCATGCATGTCGATAGGTTGGAGAGGCGCCGGCGTCGGCGTCGACCCAACAGATCCTTTTCGATTGAACGTTTCTCAGTCCCTATAGTCCGTGCTCCCAGTAGTAAGGCCAGGAGGTGCGTTCGTAGCGAACCTTGTTCTTCGTAGCGATGCCAGGAGCCCCGAACGTAGCGTCCCTTTGATCAGAAGTGGATAGAAGTGGTCAGCACGTCCAAGGACGAGGACGCAATTCCACCGGGGACGAGGACGGATTGGTTCACCTTTGGCGGGTCTCTGCCGAAAGTGCAAACTTCACCTGGTTTGGTCCGGATGTTCCACCTCGTTCTCGTTCGTTCTCGTTGTTCGTTCTCACATGTGACGGTGGGGGCATGTCATCGGAACTGTTTTCTTGTCTCAAAGGGCACATGAACAGAAGGGACTACTGTACCAGGGTAGGGAGGTCAATCTACAAGGGTTTGGGGGGGTTGGATGTTACAGGATTTGACCCACAGCCATGTAACAATTCCCAACGAGAAATGGACAGCCTGGGCCACGCCCCCAATGCTTTCAAACCTGAGCATCCCCAAAAACCCGCGAGCGCCCGCGACAAGCCACTGCCTTCTGTGAAAGGGATTTGCTTCAGTAGCCTGACTTCGTGTTGTGTAATAAACTTTCAGGAAGGCAGTGAGGTGAGCTGTGCCGCACGTGGATTTCAATCACGGTTGTGCGAAAAAGGCAGCCAAGACGAGGCCACAAACCACGGTGGGGCATACATGGAGTAAATACCCTAGAAGTCCAAAGACTATACTTTGACCGACTGAAGTAAAGCATATTCCTTTTCGGGTCACCTAAAGACAATTAATAGTCTTTGACTCCCAGGGAATACATTGGAGCACTGTTTTGTGTGTACACAGTGTGTGTATGTGTTCCATATATATATATATATGTGTTCCATGTGCATAGGATTGCATAGGCATAGGGGTTCGAAAGCCTCCAGGTAGAGTTCGTGACTCGTCGTTGCATCCTGCGAAGAAAGGCGAATCGTCTTGCTAGAAGCAGTGTAGTTTATAGCCACACACCGGCCAGAAGTGTGACATGACCTGGGAGAACCTTGGACATTGCCGGGGCTTTCGAGCTAGCTATATGGCTTGGGCCTGTCCTAATTACCTGTCACAGTCGGCAAAGAGTTATCATGTTAGAGGAAGGCCCCAGGAATGGCCTTTATAACCATCATCATCCACTGGGTTGCCAAGCTAAGACGCAGCTAGGTCGTAGGGGGGCTGCATGTGGTATTATCGGCCCGGCCCGGGAATCAGCACTTGTGGTCTAGGCTCTTTGCGAAGCGAAAAGGGCAACTGCGTAATCTCATGATGCGCGCAGGCATCGCTTGAACTCGAAAAGGAGCTCCCTTGAGATAAAAGAGTGCAATGTGCCAAGCAAGAGTAGGGAATGAAAGTCGTCCGTTTTGTTCTAATTATGCTGGAGGTCATTGCTATTAGGTTGGAGGCCATTGCTCTTAGGTTGGAGGCTGTCGACGGATGTTTTCGCCCCAAACCGGCTTCGACCTCGTAACGACCTCGTCGTTGCCGCGGAACGGACGTCGACTCATCCGACACGCGAGGCGGAGAGAGCGTGGGCCAGAGGACGGAGGACAGGGAGCAACGATGAGGTGAGGTGACCAAGAGTGTTCCAATGAAAGAACCGGGCGCTTTTGTGAGAAATGGGGGACCAGAAACATGAGGGATCGCTAAAGAAGGAACCAGAAAAAACCGAAGAAGAAGATCGCTCAAACGAACGGCGGCGCGCGCTTCCGCTGCGCGCGCGTCCGGGATCGGTGCGAAGCGCTACCTCGACCGACCGGAACCGGACCGGAACGTTTGGCCGATCGGGTGGACGTCCCTTCGCAGGTGCCTTAAAGGGCGAGCAGAGCTGACGCTGTCCCAGACGCATGTGCGACGAAACAAGATCGAGGCTATTGGAGGGTGATCGGAACGAAGGTGATCGGAGAGCTCTCCTCCCACCCTGCGCTTGCTCGCGCTGGCTCGCGCTTGCACCACATGGCTGCTTGCATACAGCTTGGTGGTCGGAGTTGGACCCGTTGGTGTTGTTCGGTGTGCTGTACGGGACCGATGGGACCGCTTCAAGGCCTGACCGATCATCCCTAGGGCTCCAAGGACCTTCTCAGAAGGTGCTTGGGGTGGGTTCAGAGGGTCCAGGTACTTGGAGCCCTAGGGCATGAGACAGAACTGGACTGGTTTGTTGGGACTTGCAGAAGGACATTTGGAGACCAAGGTCCGGTGCTGCCCCCCAACATCAATCAAACGACCATGAGGCACCAGTGAAAGTAAACGTTTGGTCTTAAAATGGTTGAGCACCAAATGGTTAAGCATTCATCAAGCTTCCTTAAGTCTTCCAATTCGCCAAACGACCATGTAAGACACAGGGAAACGCGCTTCCTGCTCAGAGCCGTTGAGGCAGCAACCAGGCCGTTGAGGAACCTTGAGGCACCCTGTGGCATCAGCCCGATTCTGTGGGATCTCGGGGGTGCCGGCCACTGATTTGATGGGTTGCCCACTCGATGAAGATTCAGACTCCACGATTCAACAAACTCCAAACATTCCTGGATTTTCCAACCATGTAACATGTATTTTTGACTCTTTATGTGTCAAAACCGGCCAACAGGCAGAAATATCATGCTTTTTCCAAGCAATGACTGCTTTCCAGTGGACATCCCAGCCTGATGCCAGCCGTTCACTGGGTTTCGCAGCTGGTTCGCCTGCTGGGTTTGGGAATTGATTTATGGCGGAACCGCTGGCGGACCGCTCCGGCGCGGTGACGTGAACGGAAGAATGACCGGAGTGTCACCAATGGTTCGACCTGAGACAGGGTCCAACAACCCTCAACTAACAGCCTGGCCAGGAGGGTGCTGGGAGAGAGAATTGGAAGAAGAGGAGCAGTTCAGAAGAGGAGCGGCAAGAGGAGCGGCAAGGATGGCAACACGTTTTCGGAGGGCGGATGCAAAAAGTGGGGCCTGGATGACATGCGATTGACGTATATGATGATAGAGAGGAAGAGAGAGTGTGCATGGCGTCAAGTTTCTCGAAAACTTTCAAAGTCCAACCTTCCGTGTTGTTTCGATCAGAACATGCAGAAAGGACTTGTTTTATTCCCAATGATTTGCCCACGAAAGAAGTGGACGATTTGCGCCTCAACTAAAAACAGACTTCTTAATAGTTAACTATATAAAGACAGACTGTCCAAGGGTCCTAAACAGCGGCACTTCCACTTTGAGCTTCCTCAAGCTTGCTCAAGCTTGGCTTGGTGTTCATTGGCTTGGTTTCGGCTCAGCTGTAAGATGTTGTGACACCTTTTTTTTGTGGCCCATTTGCCCATTTGATGATGATTCTGGCCACGGCAAGGCGGGGCTTACTCGGAACCGTTCGGAATAAAAGGAATGGCTCTTTCACAGTCTTTTGAGTGCGTGACTCGTTCGGTTTTGAGGCGCCGGGATTATTGCCATTGCTCGTTCGGATGAACATGAAAAGACATGACATGTCATGTGAAAAGAATCTCTCAACGATATGTTCGGATGGCCAGCCATGCTTAGCCATAGTCTCAGCCATGCTTTCATGCCATAGTCTCAGATGTTCTCAGACCGTGTGCTCCAGGGCGGTCTTGCGTGGGCGCTGCCAGCTGGCGTCTGGAGCGGGCCTCGGAGTGGCTCGGGTGGTTTGCCTCGGTGGAGTGTTGCCTGTGTGTATCATCCATATCAGGTGATTAGTTGGACCTCAGCTTATAATGAACCTCAGGTCATATCATGTTTTTGGATGTTTTTGGAACACATGGCACTATTCACGAATTCGGTAGCCCTTAAGTAGGGGGGATACCTTGAGTTGGTCCAGTCTAGCGATTCGGGCTCGATAGTGGGCTCGATCATCGTCGATCGATCGTGTTCAGGACCAGACTGGACAGTCTTTCGACTTGTACTTGGAGGCTCTTCTTAGGTTGTTAAGTAGTTACACTATATCACTATACTATGTACCAGGACACCCCGCTCCTTCGAGGTGATTCGGGGTGTCCATTAACCACCCCTTGTGTGTCCAGGTGCATAGTAACCTCACTATTTGGGGCAAGCACGTATACTATCCCATTCTGCTGACCCGACTGCAGGTGCCGCTTCCTTCGCTGTCCTCCGCTGTTCCGGCACGCCACGGGACAGCACGCCAGGACAGCTCCGCATGCACAGCACCAGCATCCAGCATGGCGAGGCGACAGCTTGCTAACCGGTGTCGAGCAGTTTAAGATAGGGTCGGAGTTAGAGTTGCTGAATGGCTTTTGCGTGCTTTTGCCATTGTCTGCCTGGAGGCTTAAGGTACTGCTTAAGGTGACTTTTGATTTTCGCGTGATTTTCTCTAGGTCCCTATGGGTCTAGTCTATGTATATGATCCCCTTCTGGGGCATATGTTATTTCCAGCTTCTGTAAGCCATTCAGCAAGTCCATGTCTGGCAGTGTTCTTAAAATAGCTTCATGTGACCGTCCGAACGTCCGTGACACATTCCACCGACGTCCCTGGGACCAGCTCTCCGATC